ATCGACGCCTGCACGAAGCCATCTAACTTTTTGTGAAAGGTGTATTTCACCGGTCCGTTTTTTCTTGTAAAATTAAAGAGCAGCTCCATTTCTGCCAAAAAAATAGAAAAAAGAACTGGCCCTGGTCAGCGGCGGACGGCAAGTGATCTACGAAAACTCCCTAATATGAAGTTTTCGTAGATCGTTTTCGCCTTCCCGCAATGCCCTCCGCAATCCGCTACGATTCCCCGAACTGTATACAGTCAAGGCCATCGGCGCACAGGCGCACTAGAGGCTTCTTTGTTGCGGATGGCTTAGCGGTATGGGAAACGCGGTCTACGAAAACTCCCCAATACCTGGCCGACCCGATCAGAGAGGCGCCGCGTTCGTAGTATGGTGCCTGGAGCGCGTCTCCGACTGGTGTCTTTAGCGTCCTATCCCGCCCATACATCAAAAGTGGTCCCAAAGTGGCAACAAATGACGTCACAGAAGCCGGAGTGTCTTGCTGTCGCACGTCGCGATTTTGGCGGTTGGTCGCAGAAATGCTGGCGAAAGGCACGAGCGAACGCGAGTGTCGCTGTCGTCACGGCGTCCCAGGCGTCCCAACTTCCGGCTGCTCTAGCTTCCGTGGACTGCCACAGCGGAGAGCGACCTGCAGCAGAACAGACGTCTGCTCCGTCCACCACACCTGCTGGGACACCGCCAGTGTCGCGACCGGCGACAGCATGACACTTCGATGACGTCATCAGGTGGAAATCGAAGGATCACTTTTTGGACGCAGTAAACACACCAGTCGTGCGTTCCCGGCACCATATTCTAAGGGACTCCTGCACCGATTGCTATGAATACTGCCGCGCACTGCCGCGCGCTGCCCGATCGGTGCCTGTTTTCATCGCTCGTGTGTCTCTTGCTTAAAGGTGCACTCAAGTGCTTTTTGGAGAAGCTCGTTTTTGGAAGCATATTGTTTGTTGGGCTTCAGTCAATAAAAATGACCAGTTCTAAATGGCAAGGCGCCCTAGTAAACTCGCAGCAATAGAAATACACAGGCACTATATCCTCTTGCGGGGTCCATCCCGTGTCTCCACCACCTCCATAGAATTCGACCAATAGAAATAGCGAACTGCGAAAAGATTGCTAAAGTTATTATTATTGCTCTTTTTAGGCACATGCACATTATATTTTGACAACAACGTCAAATCTTTGGCTGTAGGTGACGTAATACAGCTATTATTGTTTGAAAAAGAGCGAACTACATTTTCTCCTCGCCTTGTTACGCGGGAGTGATGTGCCCACGCACATCACTCCCGGGTGTGCTACAGGCCAGCTGTAGCACACCCGGATCGAGGCACAGCCCCTCGAAATCCGGGTGGCTTGTCACGCAGCTCTGCCGGCCCTGCTGCTTGCGAACGGCGGCCGGGTAGTCACGGCAGCAGACACACTCTGCGACGGTTTCCATCGGCACGCAGCAACTGCATTGGCATCTTAAAACAGAAGACCAGCATCAGCTATACATATGAGAGGCATAATAAACAGCTCATCACCTACCAGTTGGTGTTCCCAAGCCGCTGGGTTGCGTCGTCGGTTTCGTCGTCTTCCTCCGGTGTCGACATTGAGCATCCCGAACTGTCGTCCGAGTCCGTCGCGTTCGGGGCATCGGCGTCGCGCGTAGGAGTGGCGTCGTAGGAGATTGAGCTGATATCTGCCGTCCGCCGAAGAATTTCCACCTCCAACGGTTTTAGATTTGGCAGGTCCATCTCCGCACGACGCGAGACCCGAAGTAAACAAAATGAGTCCCAACGAGAATCCATCAAATACGCGCACATTCGGAAGATCACTCCGCCGGTTCGAAGGATCAATCCGCCCGGAAGCCGTCACTCGTGATTGGATGGCGCACGCCCTTCCCTGCTGCCTTCCCGTCCGACAGCGCCCCTGACGGCGTGCGCCTAGGCGCAGAACAGCGATCTTTGATTGGATTTTTAATAGGGAAATCGGCCGCCCTTGAATGTGATTTTGGGATTTCTAGGATACTTAGAGCCCGCAGATTGTGTTATGACAATAAATAGACGATCTCAGAATTCACTTGAGTGCCCCTTTAACGGACGCCGCCGCGCCGCTTTCATGGCCACCTCTTACAGGGGCTTCAGACGACAATAGACGATGGTGGAATTGCAGACGATGCCGTGCGCTGCTGCGCGTCTGCTCGCACGGCTAGCAGGTGGTGCCAGACACTGATCTTTATTGTAGGAGGCTGGATCGCGGATAATGGCTTACCTTGCTAGGGTCAAACGGCACCACCGGCAACCATTGCTTGACATCAGCTAATGCATGGGATTATATGGGACAAACAGGGCAAACTGCAATTTCTTACTTTAGTAGGTTGTTCTCGACAATGATACTGTGATCGCGTTTTCCGGGAATTACACTTAATATTCTGGGTGCAGATATTAAAAGCGCTAGAATACCAATCCTTTTAAATACATGCCTTGTGGTTGACAAAAGGTTTTTCAAGAGTCAACGTGGAGCCGTTCGTGATCTCGAAGTCATGAGAGCTTAGCAGATGATAAGTTAGAAGAAATTTACTTGGATACGTTCGCATCGTTTGAAGCGCTTGCACAAAGTACTTCCGCTGGAAGCTTTTGCTTTGAACTGTAAAGACGGCTTGAGTGACGAACTAAAACTCGGAGCGTGTCGTTCATTTGTTAACCATGTCATTCATTTAGCAATTGAAGCGAGCGATGCCGGCACAGTCGGTGGTGCTCCGGCAAATTTTACTTTTTTTGATCGCCGTTCCAACGCATGATAGATACTGATTTCGTCCCCAAACATCCGATGTGATGTTCGTAGAACATCATAAAATATTCGCCTTCGAGCACAGCTTAGAGGCTTCAATATTTCAACCTTTGTGTATTTTTCTCATAGACTTGCGGGTATTGCCTGATGTCAAGCAATGGCCGCCGGTGGCGCCACTGACGGGCTGCCGATCCGCGATTCAGTGGTGCCAGACGCTAGACTAGACGCCCCGAATGTCGCGAAAGGCAGAAACTAAGCTTGCGAGCGTGTTCGGCCGAGCAGCCAAGCCAATACAGTAGTAATGGGAGGCGCCACTGATCTATGGGTGGGGCTTAGAGCGGCCCGTGACCTCCAACTTAATCTAAAGGCGTGCACATAGCGCTTCTTTTTTTTTTTTTTCGTGCAAAAATGTTAGTGCTTTAAACAGGTTCTTTAAAATGATAATGTTCACACTCTAAAATGTAGTTTTACTTTTTGCCAGGCGATTCATTATGGCGTCACATGACTCCCAAAGCAATATTTTGCTGCAAAGTCACGTAGATTTTTATTGAAACCAAAATGTGCAACTGCTCGAAACCAAAACATGAGCACCCATTAATTGCAAGACATGTCTATTAGATCGCTGGGAGACATATAGAAGGGGAGAGAGTTGCCGGAAGTGACGTACTACACACGATCGCGTTTTTTTTCGCTTTTTCGGTTGTGCGAAGCAGACGAGTTTTAACATTGAAAGGGTCAAGGACATAAGGGGGACTCCTTGTTCACAGTAATGCGGCCATTTGCACCTAGTGAAGAAATCGTATGCCTGCATATTCAACACCGAGTCCGCACTTCGTGCTTGACGTTTGCGCGTGTTTTAAGCTCTTAACCAATCCGTGCTGGTAAGACGAGCGATGTCTTGAGCCAGGAGAAGGGGCGACGACTCGGCGAGGTCTTCGTGCGAATCAGCTTGGTGGACGGGTGTGTCGTACGGAATGAACCCTATTGCTTTGATTGATTAAAATATTTCTCTTTCGAAGCTAAACAGATTCGCCGGTACCGCAAATTAGAGTTCTGAAGTAGATGTCCCGCGCCAGTCGTTCGCCGCCATCGTCCTCTTCGTCCAGCCGTCCAACCCACGACTCCAGCAATACGACGCCATGTTGAGAATTGCACAGTGCATGTGTATCCGGCACTGTGCAACTTTTTTCTTCAATAAACATATTTGCAGCTTTTAAGAAGCAACAAGGAAGGGGTTTAATTTATTTTTTTAATTTTTAGTATTAAGTGTGTGCTTTTTATTACCCGCGACTGTGAATATATTTTGCGGTTGCGTCTGAACGGCACGTGACCATGGAGTAGAGTGTGAGCCCAACTCAAACCGGCCAGTTCTCGATCGGCGGTTATCGGGAGGATCAGAACGAATTTGGAGCTGAACATTGTATTTTGGTTAGCTGAGATTTCATGTCATTTACAAAGAAAAACCTTGGCAGCCATAAATACCCTGTCAATGTCCCTTTGAAAAGCTTTTTTTTTTTTATATTTTAGTGCTTTTAAATGGTAAAAAAGTGCGCTCCCTTTAGATGTCGCAAGCTCCTGAATTGCGTCTTACTCGCGGTGTATACATATTCTGTAAACACAATACACTCTGCCACTCATCTTAAGCAGAGTTGTTACATGTGTAGCTGCATTTTTGTCGCTCCGATTTAAACGAAAGCTTTACCTGGGGGCCTGACTTAAAGGGATGCCGAACCAAGCATTTCAGTGTCTATAATAAGTGGCGCACGATCTGTCCTCGAGCCATCAACCTCAAGTATTCACGAGCACACGCAATGAAATTGACGTCATAGTCCCCCATTCACTCCTAAGGCGACAGTGAAATGATTGAGCTTTTAGGAAAAGGAGAATAAAGACAAGTTTTTCATCGCCACAGTGGGGTCTGGTGTAAAAGGTAATCGATTCATTTGTCTAACAAGCACGTAGCTTTCACTTTTGGAGATAAAATACTTTATTCTGCTTTGGCTCGAAGCTTATATATTTCACTGTCATCTTAAGCGCGAATGGCAGACTATGACGTTAATTTCGTTCCGTGTGCTCGCGCACACTGGCGGCTGCTGGCTCGTGGAAAGAAGGTGAGCCACTTATTATGGACACTAAATTGTTTCGTTCAGTATCCCTTTAAACAGAGCCTATATGACTCGCACTGTTTTCTATAATTTCACTGCTGCAGGATAGACATTCCCTGGGAGTGCATGGTACTCGTGCTCCTCCTCTTCGCCTCGGTGACCACGGGTCTAGCGTTGGCCGCGTACGCGCTCTTCGCTCGTTTCTCCGAGCACGACCCCCGAACGGACGCCAAGCTGTCCAGCTTCGGAGACTTCCGGTCGTACGCCGCCGTCACGGACGCCATCCAGTGCGCCCCGGTTACCAGGTGAGAGAAAACCGACTTCGGTTGTTAAGGGCGACACTTCCGCTTGCTGTCCGTCGTTCAGTGTTAACTGAACGACGGACATTTCGGCCGCTCACGTGTGAACAACATAATAATAACGAATCCATACAGGCTATACTCTGTTCATTGTTGAGAAGATCAATAGGAGCGGTACCCGCGAAGGCCTCTCTTTTCAGCCAACGCCAAGCTCTTATACTTGTTTTCACCTCAATAACCGTAATAAAAGAGTCCGGCTCCTCGCGGAGATTTACTGATTTCCCGGTTTATGCAAATAATCAAAATATATAGAAGTGATTTTCAGATTAGATATATGCTATCGTAACAAGACGTACACGTTTCAAACGCCAAAAGCATCGCTTCCTCCCCCGTCAACTAAGTGTTGTAGGAACTACTTCGCGCGGCGCACGCGCTAAACCTGCCTTTTTTTAGGTGACAACTAGTACAGAAGTTGCTTTTTGACAAAATGAATGCTGAAAAACGCACAAATCATGGCCCTAATAAAAATAACATTTCAGTGCTGATGCGTTATAGGAAGCTCAAAACTTCAAGCCACTTCAGCCCATCAAACCTTCAGTCCATCAACCCCTTAGTCCTTCAAACTCATTTAGCCATTCAAACCCTGTAGCCTTTGAGACCCTTCCACCTTTCACACCCTTCCGCCTTTCAGACCCTTCTGCCTTTCAGACCCTTCCGCCTTTCAGACCCTTCCGCATTTCAGACCCCCTGAGCCATTCGACCATTTAGACTCCCAAATGTCTGTGAACCATGGACCAACAATTGAGTTTAAAATGGTATTGAAAATGTATTATATGTATGTTGTAACCCAAAAGGACGATAAGATCTAACATTTACTCAAACCTGGTCGCAAGCAGCTGTAGGCAAAAGCGATCCGACCAAATAGGGATAACCGAGTTCTTTTGTTGCAAAAAAAATATATCTTGAGGTACTCAGAATACCGCTGGGTAAATTCCTGAGATGTACGGTAGTTTATCAAATAGAACCGAGCAGGCGCACCACATACACACATCCGCACTGTCAGTAGCAAATTTAGCAAAAACCGCGAACGCGTAACCAACATCCGCCGCCGTTGAGAAATCCTGAGCACGGTCACGGTGTCGTCCCATGATGGCATCGCAATGGCGTCTCCTGCGTCTTTTTCGCTCTCTGGGTGCTTTTAAAACCGGACGGACGAAGAGGCGCAAGAAACAGGGCACTGAGAAACCTTCTTGATCCCCACAGCCAGCTGCACTAGAAGATGCAATCCAACGGGAAGCACACACTGCGCATCCACTCGTTGTTCCGCATATAGATTGCGCTAGTTAACGAAAAAGAACAGGGCCACCAGCTTTTGACGAAGACTGTCTTTCGATTGACTAAAACAGGTTATCTACAAACAAACAGAAAAATGTACCCCTCACCTTTTCCCAACGCACCCGCTCTTTTTTGTGAGTGAGAACTTGGCGAAGAAAAACAGTGCAAGCGGGGAAACTGCGGAAACTTGGAAAGCCGATGAAGGGAGGAGCGACTTCCTTTTCAAAACGGGTTTTTTGTGCGCGCCCGTTTCCCCTTCGCCTGTGCCGCGCCATGGCGGGAACGAACGGGTGAACTTTTCAATTACCAAAACTCGTCGTGGCCGCCCAAACAAAACGGCCAAGCAGCTTCTCCCACGAATATATCCTCAAGGGTCCCGTGCCCTCTCCCACGAATCCGTTAATACGACTTTTATGGGTGCTGTGGTTTCGCGAAAAGGATTCAGACAGATCCCACAGGTATTTCAAGAAACTATGACGGATCTCTTACACCCTAACAAATTTTTAAAGGGTCCGTCAGGCCCTTTAGAAAACTGACGGAGATCTGGAACACGTGAAACATTCCTGACAGGTACTTCAAAACATTGCAGAAGTCCTGGTGTATGAGACGACTTTTCAATAGGGGTGTTCTGCTATTTTTATCTGCAACAAATTTTACAGCGTGTGTTTTTTTAGATATACAGACTTTCTTAAAAAGCGTGAAAGCTACACTAATGTGGTTTGTGCGGTTGAGTTCTACGGCCTTGCAAACACCTATAGACCGTTCCATTAGGGTCATAGCAGAGAGGGTAAAAGAGAAAAAAATGCACTCCCCCTCTCACCCCGCACATCGTCCGCTCCGCCGAGTGGGCTGTAGCTAGCGTCCGGCTGGCTTGCAAACTCTGTTTAATATCGCGTCATTTTGGAACTTTCAAGCGCAGATGCGCAGATTTTGGTATGCCAGTTGTCGTGTAATACTATGATAGATAAAACGACACACAGGATCCAATTGCGCTGTTACCTGCGTGCAAATAAAAAAAAATAATAGGAAAAGCTGTGTCAGAATGGCCGGTCTCTTTGGCGAAAAGTAAATCCGGTTGCTGTGCCTTTTTTACTATACAAAGTTCGTACTGGTGTAGGCCTTTAGCGATCATGAGTGGAAGTCTGAAATAATAAATAAAACGTGCTCTCCTGCCGCAACACACGCAGTAGTTGAGGGTAGTACTGCCGGCTGACTCAACTGCTATTTAAGAAGCGGAAAAAGGATATGCTAGTTGATCATTTAGCGAAATAGAGAAACAAAGAGCTATAGGCTGATTTTGGAGAGGCCACAACTATTCTAACAACGCGAACCACTTCACAACGGCAGCCACGAGCGCAAGTTCGATGTTCCGTACTGCCCGCCGATACAGCCCAAAGATGGAGAACGGCAACCTCCCGGTTTGTCGTCTGCTAGCGGAGGCGGGCGCGTGCCCTCTCTCTCGTTTTACCCCGCCGAACCCGCTGAACTTCCCGGATGTGTGGAGAGGGCGCTGCGGTCAAACAAAATGGTGCCGCCCAGAGAGCGCTAAATGGAACGGTCTATAGACGGTGTCGGGTTTAGACCACAGGGGACGCTCCTCCCAGCTCTTTCCTTTTAACCAAGCGAACATTGCGGAGGAGGCGACCTCTCCAGCGTTCACTCTGCCAAAGGGGAAAGAGGTGGAAGGAGCTTCCTCATAACTCTTTACTTAACCTGTCACCGACTATAGTATGTCCTTCTACAATCCCTGACGTCCGTCCTGCATCCGGCAATTTGTTCTCACAAAGAGCTTCATTTGATCACAGTCACCCTATTTTTAGGAATTTGTTGGATAAGTCTTCGCTGAAACACCCGGTATAGACAGACGGTGACTTTATCGAAGCCTTTTATAGCTCGAATATTCGGCGGCGAAATGGCGTAGGCTAAACTGATAGACATCCAATATCTTTGTGTGGGGCCCAAGAATGAGCGTATAAATGTTTGGTTTTTCAGGTTCGTATTTGAGCGAAACGGATCTGTTGCCGACGCCGCCATCGCCACTTTACTGTGCGCGTGCGTCGTGCTGCCGCATTCGGTCGGCCTGGGAGGCGGCTTTATCGCCCTCATCTACGACAAGTGAGTGCACGTATAGAGCATGCATATTCCATACCGAGTGGTCCATGCAACAGGGAATGTCGGGCAGTCTGTGCTTGGTTTTAAGATTTGCGAGAGTGTTTGCGGGATCAAAATGCCGCATTCACCAAGCACAGAACTCATGAGGTGTGGCATACGCCTCCTGCTTTGCCCAGGAGGCGCTGCAGAAAAACGGGCTGGCAGCGCCCCCTACGATTTGTTTATTGGTATTGGGTAGTACAAACTTGCTCATTCCAATTTGTCCCGCGTGCAAACGTTAGCCGGCGTTATGAATTCCTTCCGTGCAATTGTCTTACGGCAAGGAATCGAGCCAATTTCTAACGTGGAAAGCTGCTTTCGTTCCTCAACACTTCGCAAAGAGAATAAACTCAGCGATGCAAGCTACGTCTACGCTGTACAAGAAGCCACAAATTTGGTGTCGGCGTTCTGTCACTCGCAAAAACAGCGAGCTTCTTTTGATATCGAGCTTGAGGTGAGCATTAACTTTTAAGCAAAAACTCCCAAACAGCAGCCCCTCCGTACACCCAACGCTATCAGCTGATGACCAACCTTGAAAATGCGCGAATGCAGACGCAAGCGATCGATCGTCGACCGGCTCTCTGTCGGCCGCGTTGATATTTCTTTATTTAACTCTTGAGAAGAGTTTGATCACACCAAAAGGCCAGTGGCCCGTACTCGTAGGTCTGTGGCACCATCTAGACTTTATACACACACACACACTCGCACACGTAAATAAATAAATAAGAATGGAGAAAGGGAGGGAGGCCAGCGCGGCATCGAACACAATAATAATAATAATCTTTATTTGTACAAAAGTTTTACCCCGAGTGGCTTACTCGGCTAGGACAGAAAGGCGAAAGCCCATACGCTTGTGCGTCTGCTAGTCAACCACCCGGGGCAGGAGAAAAACGAAGGACTTTAAGCTGCCTTTCAAGCTGTAGCAGCTTTTCTACCACATCTGCGATGTAAGCTTCACGCAACATAAGATCAGCAGTAGGAGCTCAGCCTCCAGCACATGCTTGATGATTTCTGTGGTGCGCTGGTGCGCGCGCATGCTTTTCCGACGCTATAAGCGCGAGCATGTGGCCCTGAACAGTGCTTGACAGGGTCACTGAAAGCCCGCAGCTCGCACTTGTAGCATCGGCTGCTGAAACGAAGTATAGTTCAATTGGATCGCTCAACTGATCGGCGTGTTCCTGTTCGTAAAATTCGCAAGACGCACGTTTCGATGCATGCCACGGCCGCTTGATCGGGTGGCCATGCCTTAGCACCTGGAGGGCGAGAAAAACAATTGTCTCGCTTACTCAGTGCGCTGGGCGGCTAGTATCGTTCCCTTCGCTCGACTTCGCACGGTTTCGATGGGAATCTGTAGAAGTTCACTCCGGGGCTCTTCCTGTTCTTGACAGTTGACGACGCAACAGTACCGTCAACGGCGACGTTTCGAACGCATCGAGGCCGCGCATGGGTTTCGACGTGTTTGGACGAAGGAGAAATTACTATCTTGGGGCGAGCTCGGGTCCCCGGGGTATACGTTGTGCGGTGACGACCACGGATGACATATTTTAAATCGCGACCACGAGAACGCACAAATAACAGCAGCGCACGAAGGCAAAAAGCCTCCCGAACAGGGTTGTTATTGTACGAGGCCGCGGGGCCTTGGCAAGCTTGTACTACTCAGACATTTATTGCCCGCCACCGGAGGGCGCCACGATACGTTCAAAGCTTCAGCGCAGGAGGCCTATAGGAGGAAACAGATCTGTTACGTCGACAGCAGCGGAGCTGAAAAGACGGGAAAGGGGGGGGGGGGGGGGGGGGGGGGGGGCGGACGCATGGCACGAAATGGACTTGGATAGATAGATGGATGAATCCGGCTGAGCCCATTGGATCGGGCGGTAGCTTACGCAACCTAGACCTTTTTCGGGTAACAAGTGCCGCCTGGGGAGTTGCCTGCGAACCACAATAGAAGACCTGCCCAACATGCCTCCGCCCGTCAAAACACATTGGCATCGTGCCGTTATATCGGTTTTCAGTGCTTTTTATACCCCATACTACCGATACTAAAAAACAAAGCGTCAAAATAGACTAAACACGCGTGAAGATAGATGCTGACAATGTTGCGGTCGCCATTTTCGCAGGGCACCGCGTCCCGGAGTCTTGCAAAAATGGCGACAGCGGGAGTGTACGCATGCGCAGTAGCTTACTAAAAAAAGGTCCATTGCAAGCGTTCGGGTTGGGTCGCACAACCTCTTGTTTGCAGCCCTCGGCGCTTTCACGGAAAGTGTTGTGAATCACCCAAGCTGGCTATGTCTGTCATTAGTGGGATATAAATTTTCGAACCTCAAAAAGACACAATAAAAAGATCTTCCCAGTAGAAAAATAAAATAAAAGTGGCAAAGCCAGTGGTGAGTCTGGTGACACAGAATGTGACTGTGGGGAAACTGTTTACAAATGAGGACACTGAATGGCGCTAGCGGAACTGCGCCGTGCAACTTAAAGGGGCCCTGCAATCATATTTAAGCATCTACCTTTTTTCGGTTTCCACGTTTCTTGGGATTCGGGCAAACCAGCGCGCGCGGAGAGAGTAACTAGACATCAGTGGGCGTCATGTTTTAACCGGACGACGCGGAAACCTCCTCCCCTTACGGGGGCGCCGCCTTTGCCGCGCGCGATCCAACTTTGTCCTTTGCCTCCTCGGCCCTTCTTCACAAAGATAGACTTAAAGGACGCAGTTTATCATTTCGGCTTGAGCCCACAAACTCGCCGCTTAACGAATCTTCGCCTCGACGGCCGTACGTACTACCAATATAACGTATTACCTTTCGGTGTAAGACCCACCCCTTTTTTTATGCAAAGCCTAGCCACCGCCATGGCACACGAAGCCCGTTCTCGTGGCCTTTGGGTCTGGACACACCTTGACAATCATCTCCTCGCTCGCTCGCCCTAACTTTGTTTTTCTTGAGGAGCAGACTCACAGGTTAATCCGTGACCTTACCCGCTGGGGCTTCCGCATTAACCCCGCGGATTCCCAGATCACGCCAACTCCGACTATTACTTTTTTTTTTTTTTTTTGTGCACGGTCCCCGCGAGTGCATGGCGCACACCCCCGGCCGTCACCGCGATTTGCTTCTCACACTCGACACCCTTAAGGCACCTCAGACCATTAAGGTCTATCAGAGGCTCGCGGGTCTTTGGGCATTTTTCTTCTCGTTGTACGGCGCGCATTACCATATGCTGCGTCCACTCACATCGCCGCAGCAACGGGTCGTCCTCCCCTCTTAAGCGCGATCCAAACCAGCGCTTCTTTTTGCGGCTGTAGGTCGTGCGCGCCCCGGATGTGACGTATTTCGTGACGTCGCGCCGGTTCTTCGCTCCTTCCGGGCGCGCACAAGAAAGTTGGATAATTTCAACTTCTCAACGCGCACAAAAACGCGCGGTGACGTAGTAGGGCGCTCCTGTGTCCCGGCCAATCGGTGGAGGGCAAGCTAGTTCCGGCTCCGCGTTTCTTCGCCGTCTGGCCGGCCAGTCTGTCGCAGTTGCACTTTGCTTGCTCATGCAAAAGGAGGAGAGGGAAGCTGCTTTTGTAAGAATTTTGAGTGACAGGTTAATCTTCTATAATCTTCTGGGAGGCCCGTGCAAATCCGCGAGGCACAAAGGAGGGTCCTGATAAGAGGGGAGCTCCTTCTCCCCCTTTTCTCTGGAGGGCATCGGAAATGACGTCATGTGCAAGCCACGTATGAATTTTGCCCCAATTTCCGACGCGAGGAAGGTGACCGCCAGAGTGCGCACGTGCCTGCATGCGCGCGTGCGCGCTTGCCCGAAGCTGGCCCGTCCAAACCGAAGCGCACGGTTCTGACTCAGAAAGCGCGCCGGAAACAGCAAAAACGTAACGAAATACGTCACATCCGGGGAGCGCACGACCTACAGCCGCAAAAAGAAGCGTTGGTTTGGATCGCGCTTTACGGCGCGTTCACACTGGAAGCGGATCCGCGCGTTCTCAACCGCAAAGCGGCTAGGATCGAGCGGTTGGAGCGCGTTTTTGCCAACCGCTTCAGGACCTATTTCTCCCAACCGCTTTCACGAACCGCAAAACGGCGACCAATCACAGCGCGACGCTGACGTGACGTCAGTGACTTTCGAAACAAGATGGCACCTGTCGCTGGTGAGGCGTCCAAGGCGCTGTAGTACGGCAACGGTGATTTGGTTCGGGTAAGAGTTTGTTTATTATTCCGGGTGCCACAGCCCAAGCTCGCTGCCTTGTTAATCTCTGCCTGTAGAACGTCGGAACCCGCCCCTGATCGACCGAAATGTCAGCTTTTCTACCCACTAGGATAGTCGCGTGAACTATTGAAAGCTTTCGACACCGTGCATAACCACCACGAAGGCCAATAGAGACGTCGTGAGCTTGATTGCGTAGCCAACGCACTACCACGGAGGGGGCAGGGTACCTGCGCTAGCTCGACCTTTAACGTTTACTACTAATAAAATAAATAAAAAGAACCTACTCAATGAATAAAGTGTACGTACCAGACAATGCAGAGGTAATCCATACGGCGCTTATTTGAGCTTAATGTCAAACAAACAGTAGGCTCGATCGACGAGGGAGTGACGAGAGGAGAGTCAGCCACCAACGAAGCCACGACCGGCTAGCACGTGTCCAGCGGTCACAATTGTACAGCATGGCGGCAGCCGAGTCAGGGTCAGTTTAGCCTGGTGAACGGGATACCAATTTATCGCTCTAAGCCCCTCTACCTCGTTCGTCGTACCGGTATCATGCATCTAGGACGCATAAACAAGCAATAAGCAATCTTAAGATCAGCAATTCACACAGTGTGTGAAATGCTGATCTTAAGCTTGCTTATTTCCCCTCTGAGAATACATTTTATGCTGAACTTTACCTTTTTTGTTTTAGGGAACAGTGCTTTTATTTTCGCTTCATGCGTTTTAGGTGAGGGTATTATTACGGTTAAAATTGATCGTGCATGGGGAATATCTTTCTTCTGAACTAGCCTGCCTAGATATAGGGAAGGTTTGTGAATTCTCTAAAAATGCTGTAACTGAACGCTTGCTCTTACCAGGAAATCAAACGCGACGCACGTGCTAGATGCCCGCGAGGTGGCGCCGATGGCGGCGAGTCCAGACATGTTCATCCAGAACACAGAGGAGGCCCTCGTCGGTAAGCAGCAACCCGCAAATGATGCAACCTGCAAATGACGTTAGTGAAATATTAGTCTACGAGTCGTATACAGAGAGCAAGTTCGTCTGTTTCTTGCGGACGGGGTCCTGATAACACAGAGCTTCGCTTTGATGGGAAGGATAAAATGGGTAGACTTAAAGGCTGAACTTATAGGTATAAGCGGAAGTTCGTGTGCTACCTGCGCAGGAGTTGCTGTAACGTCAGGGCGTCGACCACCGAGCCCTCTAGTCTCGTCTTCGAGTTTTATTAATGGGTGCAGTCGTGCGATTAATTTTTAAGATAAACACGTGATCGTCGACCACTTTGGGCAGCATTATGGAACGCCGGCAAGGCTTTCGCGCCTTTTTGCCATGCTTGGTTCGCAAATCTCACGCACGCCTCAATGGCCTCTGCTTCATGACGCTTCCGGTATGTAGCAGCTGACGATTGCGCGTTCACCGTCATATATGAATCCCGACTGTATGTTTTTTTTTTGCCGACTAACAACTTGCAGACAGGCTGGAAGGAACCAGGAACCCGCGGCCGAGATCTTGTCTGCTGTACTTGCTGAAGAAAACGAGGGCCGTGTTTCAAAATTTGCTCCAAGTCACGGGTGTTGATTTTGCCTTTCCGCGTTCAAGCCCCTATACGCGGCCAGCCTTGCTTTATGGTTTTCTCGTGACTGAACTGCCAGAGTAACTCCGATTTATTTGAGTAAGGTTTGAAAAGCAGCCACAGTTTGCTGGAGCGGAACTTTGTCGCACATGCAATCAGTCATTCTCTCTTTTAGAACCCAGCTCTTAGGCGCCCGTTTCCGACTTGAGCGGCTTCGGCGTCACCGTCGGCGTCGGCGTAACCGCGCGGTTTATTATGGGATGTTTCCCATGATGACGTCATACGTGACTTCACGTGTGACGTCACGAGGGTGACGAGTGACGTGACGTCACCACGCATTGCATTATGGGTAAATATTCCTGCTAAATTTAGAGGCAAAAATTTCCCTCTAGATTTAGCGAAAATTATTTTCCCGCGAACTTTAGCAAACAAATTTTCCCGCTAAATTTAGCGGGCAAAATTTCCCACTGAATTTAGCGGAAAAATATTTTTCGCTAAATTTAACGGGAAAAATTACCCGATAAATTCAGAGAGAAAAATTTGGCGGGAAAGTTAGCGAAAATTTCTCGCTAAATGGGAGGCGAGCAGGCGATGAGGAGTGGAGGCTACGGATGAGGAGGAGGGTCATACCCTCCTCTCTGTACCTTCCCCTCCTCCTCCTCAAAAGCTGCGCTTCTATTCGGCGGTAGGGGATTTTAAACGTGTGTCATTTTTCATCTTCCCCTCTATCCTGCGCACCGAGACGCGTTTTGGTTCACTTGCTCGTCGTATTGAAGTGAGCCGTAAGGGCTAAAAGCGGAAGGCGTATGTATGCTTTAGCTTTTTATACTTCTACGCTGACATGCTTATACCAAACTTGCAACCTTGTTTCATGGGCACATTTAACTGTAGTTACGCTTGACCCACAGCACAACATTATACTTACGAACAACATTCTGCGGCTATGCAGTCAAGGCTATGGGCATACGTGTGCTTGAGCATATTGAGCGCCCACCAAAGCTGTCCACGCGCAGTCTTAACTTCTTCTGTAATAGTTAACCGAGAGTATTTGCGACTCCAACTGTCTCTAGGTAGCGCCACTCGGTTTCCAAAATGGCTGTTACAGTGAGGGTCGGACATGCGTGTTGGTATACCAGTTGCTGAGCGTGCCTAGTGTGTTGGCTTCACTGAGCGACTAAAATTATTCCCGCTTATACGAGGACGCTAGGGTGTTATGCACGTAGGTCACCGCTTCATTCAGAAAACATAAACGACGCTTAGCGTAAAATTTACGCCAGAAGGCACGTTTTCATTCATGAATTAAACCGAAACTAGCATTACTTTGCAGTTCATTTCTCAGTTGAGGTGTTAATTTAGGCTTCTAGCGTAACTGCAGATGTGTCTCACAGCATAAATATTGAGCTAAAGAAATTGTTCTCTGGAACTTACCTTTCCGATCCAGGCTCTTCAAAATAGTTTGAAGTGTCAGTGTTCCTTTCAAGACAGGGTCTGTCACAGTCCTCAGAACTAAAATAAAATATTGCATTTATTGAACAAAATCAGCCATAATATGTGTGTTCTTACTGCTTTTTCTCACTCAGATGATTACCATCGGAAATAATAAAGTGCGAATTGTTTCATGGGTTTTTGGACATTTCGATATTAATTGCTTCAGTAGTATTCCCAGCACAGGAATAACAGAGTCAACCCAAAGTTTACAAGATATTGCTCCGGATGATGAGTTTCGAAAATGTTCACAAAACGGTATATTAAGAAACGCTGTTCTCACTACAAAAAGTAAAAAAAGAAAAAGGAGTCTGAGTTAGATGGCGAAAGTATATGCTTTCAGGTAACGCGCGCGAAGCATAGGGCTTAAAATTACATCCTTAGTTTATGTCTATCTTGATAACGACGTCAGAGTTTTTGATATTCTAAAATGAAAACAAAATGAGACCTTCCTGTAAAGACAATTATGGTTAAATGGCGTATCTTTGTGACTGGGACGTTTATTGGGAATTTGCATTATGTATCATACAATTAAACTATTTCGATACGTAGTTTTTTTAATATATAATAATTTGTTGCATATCATCTAATTCAAAACGCGCTAACTATGGTAATCCTAATTAGGCAAATTAATTAAGTAGGCTGCAACTGGCACTGGTTCCGATTGCAGCATGGTTAATTAACAGGTTATAAAATAAAAATAGTATAAAATCAATGAAAAAATGTTAGCTAGTCGTAGAAATTCATATAAAATTACACTATTTGTGGGTAAAGCATATGGTGCTACCAAAGTCGCGACGTTTTTCAATCGGCAAAATTTCCAAATTCGTTGCCAATCCTTCCAAAACAAATATTCGAAAATACAAAAAAAAAGATTCACTTTTTTTTCTTCTTTTTATTACAAAACTTCCCAGAATACTATTTTTTTTTCTTTTACGCTCCGTGGTTTTGCCGATTTCAGCTTTTCCGGTTTGAAAAAACGCATACCCGCTTGCACGCCTGCTCACTGCAGCACGTGTCGTTGGCGTTGGAAAACCAGTGAAACAGAAGTGAGTTTTAGTATTGAAAAACATGGTAGCGGTCGAGATGAGGACAAAGAAGGATACCGGACAACACAGTGCTTTGTATTATTGTCCCCTTTGTTTTCGTCCCAAGCGCTACCATGTTCTTGAATACCCATATGCAAACTCGCCCAACAAGCTGCACTGATAACTTTTAGTATTCCGTATACGAGCGAACGCTGACACTGTGTTTGTGTTAGCATTGCGTATTCCACACTGCGCGTGCGCGGAGTCCGAAATTCCGGTCTTGAATTGGAGCTTGGCGACGATGCACATGCGCAGCGCCGAGCACGCAACTCTAACGCAAACGCATAGCGGAGCTACAATACGCAGTACTAAAACTCTCTAATAAAATACAATCGAATAACAGCTGCAGCTCTGCATTTGGACAGTGAAGAGAGTTGTTTGCTTTCGGAAATGACATTTCGCGAGCCATTATCGCGGGCAGTTCCGCCGTGCCCGCTGAGCAGGAGAACCGCAGGACCCTCACTAGAGCGCTTTTTCACCGCGAGAGCAACGAGCTTGAGTCGCGAATAGTGTGGTAGCATGGTAACTCTGGTGACGTGTGAAAGCAGTTAAAGGTTATTTAACTGCGGTTAAGGGCGTGCCCTTCTAACATGACTGTCGGTTTTAGGATATTTCGAGGAACGGAGAGGGCACGTCCAACAGACTTGCTTGCACTTCCATCTGTACGAGATTGAATTCGACGACTGGAAATATTCGAAGATATGCTTCACGATTTGCGTTAAACCCAGTAAACAACTTCGACTAATCTTGTTAAAAAGCTCAACTTGCGTAACTTAAGTTATGTTTTATGAAGGCAAAAATTGTCGTCAGGTATACTCCCCCAACTATAATTTCAGGACGCTTCACACACAGAGATTCTCGGCAAAATTCGGATACGACGCTTTTCATTCTTCTTATTTTTAGGAAAATACATAGTAATGACAATATCAGTGTGGCGTCATTGGAAGACTGGTTCACATATCTGCCTTTGAGTGTGATCGACTGCGTGACAGCCGCTTACGACCTCTTACGACGACGAAAGGCGCCGGTTCCATCTATTGGGTAGCTCTGGAACGCATCCGATCTGCGTATATTTGACGCATCATTCTTTCTCCGTTGGCTCGAGATAATTTGGACAACTTCATAACCAACCATTACTTATGAATGATGCGTAGATTTGGACTCGCACATACTGCGAAACCTTCTGTCCGATTCGACATAATAAATCGGAAGTATTTCCAGGACAACCCGATTGATGACGTCAGTTTGCCATGCGTTCTGTCACGGTAAGCAGTAACGAGCTCTTGTAAGGCTGTCAACCACACTCGAACGCAAATGTGTTAACTCATATCCTTCTATATACTGACAAAGCCTGGCAGATCGTCATGAGAAATGACCACCAAAATGGAAAGGGTGGAGCGGCAGACAACGAATGAGAGGAGAGCCACGTGACTAGCACGCCGCTGCGGCGAGTCACCGAAACTCACTTCTCCCGAGCAAAGAAGTGTGTTTCAAATCCTCGCCGCTGCACAAGCTGTGCGCTGACGTTCAGGTTCCCCAAGAAATGGCTCTTTCATGCTGTGTGCTGCCAGATCCTCGCGTTCCAAATCTGCGACCGGGCACTCTATGGCTCCGTCGTCGAACTGCCAGGTTTTGTGAGTATAGAGTAGGCTATGCAGTCCGAGCGCAGTGGACGCCACGAGCTATCCCAGCCGATTTAGTGCCGGGAGAAGATCTCGTGACCTGCCGGCTGGGCAAAGCGACACAGGGAGCTCAATGTCACATGAAACTCTCTCAACGCTGGATTGCTGGTATGGCTCCTAGCGTCCGCTGCGCTCGGACTGAAGGTGACACGGAGTATAGACTTGGGCCTGCCTTGGGTTGGTGCCTCCTTGAGCGCTAAGGCCCCACACCGCCGCAGGTGGTCGTGCCGTGGCCGTCCCCGGTGTGGTGCACGGGCTGGGCGAGTTGCACCGCCGCTTCGGGCGCCTTCCCTGGTCTGAGCTGTTCACTCCCGCCGTGAACCTGGCACGCTACGGCTTTTCCGTCGGGCCAGACCTGTCCGCCGCACTCGCGGCCGCCAGAATCATGTTCCAGACGAACCTCCCCATCAAGTGAGCCTGGACGCAACGTCACTCGGGGTGCTCCGGGGACGCGCCTCGAAGCCCCCGTGCTTTCCCGAAAGGCGCGCGAAGTCCGGTTTCTAGGCTCCGGCTTTTTGAGTGAGGAAGACTTAAAATATTCCCCTGCAGTTCATTATTAATGAATTAATTAACCATTCAGTCGAGTTTTTTTGCAGCGCACAAAATATAATAATGCGAGGACGCTAAGGAATGAACAAGGGACGCAAGCATAAAACAAAATGGCGTCAGCGCGCCAAGAAACACCGGTTCAGGTTGCACGTGAAATGTGTACAGAGGCATCAACACGACGAAGTTATCGCCTATTCCCCAAAAAACAGTACGTGGGAAAGGGTTTGAAAAACAAAGCTGTCTGTACTTGTTTTCACCTCAAGAACCGTAGTAAAAAAAGAAAAGACCGGCTCGTCGTGGAGCATTACTAATTTCCCCCTTTGCGTAAAGTATAAACCCATATCGAGTTCTTTTTAGATTATAAATGTGTTGTCTGATCTGCACGGACACACTTCAAACGTCAAAAGAGTCGCTTCTTTCCTCCGACAGCCAAATCTCGTAAGAACTACATCGCGCTGCCGTATAAACAATGAGTAGGCCTTACTTTTTTTTCTTGAGGTGAAAACTAGTATAGGTTATGATAAATATTCCTTCAGCTAGCTATAGCTCAACCGCTCATTGTGAACGACAGGAAAGCGTATGCAGACCGATTCGTTCAGACTCACGTACTCTCACTACTTTTAATGGCTTCACCCTTCTGGATGTTCCTGTTCGTGCAAACCGCGCACCTACTTCTTCTAACGTCGAAACAAGGCCCACATCCGGCGCTTTCTGCTGTGGAAAGCGTCGTTCGCTAGACGCAAGCGGAGGTCTTTCCTCAACTCCCGGTTTGCTTTAAAACGTTTTTTTTTTTCGTGTTGAGGGAAAGTTGGGGGGGGGGGGGGGTAGTCAACTTCCGGTCCTTTGCTACTCAAGAACGTAGGGCTAGGGACAGGAAGGCATGAAAGAAGGAAGCAGACGGAACGCTGGAGAAGAGAGAGGGAGACCTCCTCCTCTTTTTAGCTTTCCGTCTGCTTCCTTCTGCCCTGTCTTCCTTTCCTTTGCCCTACATTCTTGAGTTGCAACGGAGTCACTAGCGTCTTTGAAAAGAAAGAAAAACTTTGGAGCGTGCTCATGACGCAAGGCCACTCACACACACTGCTGGTTTTCTTCAAGGCCTGCGCTGTCGTTGTCAGCCCACGGCTTCCCAAAAAGAAGGAAGGGCAAGAGACGAGGGGGAGGAAGCGAGGAGGAAAGCCGTGACGTTTGCGTACACGCGCACCTTAAAGCGACCCCTGCAGGTTATTTACGCCCGCCAAGGTTCTTATGTGTACAGAACATATGAGAGCCCAACTATCCAGTCCACAATTTGCGGCTGTAATTTCGTTTTCGTTCCGCCCGAAAACCGGCGATCGAGAACTGGCCGGTTTGTGTCGCGCTCACTCTCTTCTCTGTGGTCACGTGCCGTTTCTCCTCTTTTTTTTTTTTTTGGTTTAGACACACACACGCCAAATATAATCAAGGTCATGCGTCACCGAAAGCACACAACGAATATTAAAAAAAAATATATCATACCCATTATTTGTGGTTTCCAAAAAGCTGCAAATTTATTTATTAAAAAAAAATATTTGCACAGAGGACCGGAAGCACTTTGTGCATTCTCTGCGTAATTCTCAACATGGCATCGTATCCCGAAAGTAGCGGGTTGGAAGGCTAAATAAACCGGAGCATGCGATAGCGGCTGACGACGGGCGTCAGCCGCCTCTACTTCACAACTGTTGTTCGCGGTACCGGCGAATCTGTCTAGCTTCGAAAGAGAAATGGTTTGCCGACCAAAACAATTGAAATTTATTCCGTACGACACGCCCGACCACTAATCTGATTCGCACGAGGACATAGCCGAGTCGTTGCCCCTTCTCCTGGCTCAAGGCGTCGCTCGTCTAATGAACGCGAACACCGACACACGCAAAAGTAAGGAACAAAGCGTTTGACTCTTGCGTTATTTGTGCGACGTGCGACGTGCAAAATTTTCGTCTGCTTTGCATACAAAAAAAAAAATAATAATTATAACGCGGTCGGGTTTAGCGACGCGATTTCCGGAAACTCTCTGCACCTCTACATTTCTTCTTTCTCCCCGGTCCAGATTCGGTCTCGGTTTCGAGCAGTTGCATTTTCTCACTTTTTTAAAAAATATACGTGACGCTGTAGCAAAACATTGATTCGGTAGTTGTGATGTACCGGTTAATTTAGGAGAACGTGAGGATATATTTATTGGGTGTAGGCCCGTTTGTCATGTGCGCATTCGTCATAGGCCAACTGGTAACAGGCCCGTTCGTCACAGCGGAACATTCGTCATAGGGGAATTTGTCCCTAGGAACGTTTGTCACTGTGCGAACCGGATATTTGAATTTGCCCAACATATATTCACCTGGCTGTGCAAGCAATAAAGATTAGTACCGTATATTTAATTTTACTAAAGAGAGGGAACATCCAAACAAGTCATCGTTGTACTTAGAAAACAACAGATTTATTGAGCGAAATAAATAAAAAAATTAAAAAGCGATATTCCGAGCCCTCACCCTCAGGGTTTCTAGACGATTGCGACCAGTGTAGCGGCTCACAATGATTTGAAGACGCCGCTTGCTGTCGTCGTGCTTCTTGGACACCCTCGAAGATGTCGTGCCGCCCTCTGCTTGAGCCAGCTTCATCTCTGTTAAGGATAAAAAGAAAAAAGAACACACACACTCGCGGAGAAAGCTTTTTGAGTGGGCACCGTACTGAAATTTTGAGCCACAAATGCAAAAATGTACTACAGAAAGCGTCCAAGTTCTCAGACGATTGCGTCAGTTCTTACGTGCAGTCCCCGGAGCCACGCTTCGATGGTGTTGTTCGTCCTTATTGGCCTTTCTGCTAGTGTTGATTCTATGACTGACCAAACCAGAGGAGGGGAGGTGGCCGACGACAAGCCGTTTCGACGGGGTCTCCCGATATACACGTCCTCAAAGTAGTCCGCCACGAGTAAGGCATCGGTGGGGAAAACCTCTAGAAGTTCTTTGAAGGCCTCGGGAATGTCGGTGATTGGCAAGAAGGCCAATGCTGGATGCATTCCCATTTGAAAATCAACAAGAAATAATGTAACAAACTGGCTTACCTGAAGACAACACAAAGACGTATAAATAGAATGCCGCATACCAGAACAGCAAACTCGTCATTTGAATTGTCTGAACTGAAAAAAACATCCCTGTATCGTTGATGACCGCTATCTTGAAGTCCGTGTAAGCCACTTCAAGGCACTTGGCCCCCCATGTGACTCAGAACGACGTCGAAAAACCTTAAAACGAGCGAACATATTTTGAAGTGTTTGAACACATATCCAATAATAGGACCACCGAGCGTTTCGTTTTATACGTTTATCAGAGCTCTTGAATGCTCACCTTTTGTAGGTAGCTTCAGATTTGTTGGGCAGCAAGCCGTAAACCATTGGCTTTACCACGCCGTTGACTGTGGCATGCTCCGTGTACAGTTAGTAGAACTGTGCTGGGGGTCACGTTCAAGGTCCCGTCCGCGAACCACGTAGTCGCGTGAGCCAGACAGCTCAAGTTGCGCTCGGTAGCAAAGATCAGGATTCTTTCGCCGTCGCCCTCTCCGCTATCGTGAAGGAGAAAGGAGTCTTTTTTTGGCTGCGGTCTGCATGCAGGTAAAACAGTTATTATTATCATAATATGTCGCGCACTGTGATTTTGCGCTGCAATACACTTTACTTTGAACTCTGTGGGCATTCGATCGTATGTCGGTTCTGCAAGATGATACGCTGTAATCGAAATTCGGCCGCTGCCTTTGCTTGCGGATGGTGCGCCGGAGTGTTGGCGGTGCGGGAATCTGCAAAGCAGTGTCGTCACTGACACAGGCAACCGCAGCCAGAAGCATTTGGTGTGGTGATAGACGGCCTTCCACTAGAATAAAGGACATTAATGACCTTGTTTTGGGAATATAAAAGCAGGAACAGATTTTGGTACATACCAGCTTTTTCCTTCATCTGATGACGAACCCAAGCACGTTTATCTTGGTGTTGTCAAATGCATGCGTATGGTCTCCTGAATAAGAGATTACACGAATCTTGGCGTGATCGGTGACTATTTTAGTTTTACAAACTCCTCTTCGCCGGCAGGCCCAATACAACGTAGTTTCGTAAACCTTAATGCAAGTGTAGGAATGTCCTTCGTGAAGAAGCATATCGCCACCTCTCTTAGTAGTAACTACCTCCATTTAGAAATCGAGACTCGTGATATTTTTGTAATCGGAGGGCAACCGGCATAATAGCCCTAAAGCAGGGCACAAAAAAAAAAAAAAGAATCGCTTTCGGTGGGCTTTTTTCTATTGTGAACTTCATGTTCTCGAAGGTCTTTTGTAAGAAAGGTGACCCCGATAAGACAACATGCAGGCTAAAGGCTGCATGCTGCCTTAACTTGGGGTCATTGGGACATGCTTTTGTTTCCCGTAGTCAACCTCACTGGCCTTGTACGGATTTAATTAAGTGGCCCCCTTTCGTAACTTTCCTAAGAAAACACGATAGAAAAAAAAAACGTTTAACAATGTTGAAGTCATTGTGTGACGAACTGCCAGCGTGACGAATCACACTATGACCAATGTTCCGCTGTGACGAACGGGCCTGTTACCAGTTTCCCTATGACGAATCGACATGTGACGAATGGGCCGTATCCCATATTTATTCTACCGTTTAGGGTACAATCAGTTGGTGTTACGAGAAGCGTCTTTTCTGGTGTGCGACCAGGCCCACTCTGTGGCTTCCAGGCGTCCCACGCTCCTCCTGGGCTCGCCGCTCGGCTCTCCCCTGCCGGTGTCTCTGGTTGCATCCGCCGATGTTTGGACTCAATAGATCGTGTTCGGCATACACCGCGAACACGCGCGTAATGCACGGCAGTAGATCCTATAACATCATATTAAATCCACTGTACCTTCAACGTTCACGGTCTTTTGAGAAGCGGGCGCGCTCTCTTTGTTGTGCACAGCAAAACACGTGTCCTGTTTGGTTGGCCCTTTGCTCAAATAAAGGTGTTCCAAATAACAACCAAAACCCTGCTATGACAAGTAGGTAAGGACCATTGGTAGGCAGTTGCCGATGAACTTGGAGGACTGGTGTGACACTACCGATTATGGTCGTGTGGTTCCTTCCCAGGAACGTCTTCTGGAACAACAGCTCGAACACGCCGTTCCGGGAGGGCGACATGATGAAGCAGCCTCTGCTGGCCAAGACGCTCGAGCTCATCTCCAACACGAGCGCGAGTGCCTTTTACCGGGGAAGTCTGGCGAGGAAGCTTGTCGGCGACATGAAGAGGATGGGTGAGTACCAAGAGAGCGCCGGAGGTCCCACATTTGAAAGGGCATAGGCAGAAAGTTCTTAATTTCCCGGGTTCTTGGGAAACGTTTGGGACGTCTCTTAAGAGAGACGTCTTAAACGGATAAGCATGCTGGCGGCATGATACCTCAACATATGCCTGCTTTTGTGACCTATAATTTAGCTGTTATTGCAGTTGTGATCAGTGAATTCCGTGGTTCAGGCGCACGGACCGTAATGAATTGTTTCAACCTTTAGGAAAACAAAATGGGGCTTACAGAACGTATTATGTCGTCTACTTCAGTGGGCTGCAGGTCCGCTAGAGGTGCCGTTGTGGTCATTCGCAACTACTTCCTATGGATTTCGAAGGAATTTCCAGCACTAGCCTTTATCGTATTTGCTAATCCTAAGTAGGAACTTTGAACAGGACTGCACGAATAGTTAGAAAAATATATCCACTCACCAACCCGGGTCACTTCGTGACCAGAACTGGTGAGCGGATAAATTTTTATTTATCCACTGGGCGCCGCCAGCTATCGATATGTGCGGGGCACCAGGGCGCACAGATGAGATTAATGAGGTGCACCAAGAGGTTCCGGAGGCGATGGCACTTGCTTTTCCCAAGAGCTCGGGAGAGAAAGGGAGGGGGGGGGGGGGAAAGCAAAGGCACCCAGCTCCCCCCCCCCCCCCCCCCCCCTTTTTTGTAGTCGGCGCCTATGTGAAAGGGTACCTACAAAGTATACGACACTGACGGTAGTCTATGTAAATTGCATCTATTCCGAATTTCTCAGAAAGAAACAACTCACCTCGTTGCATGCACACACCTGCAGCAGTGTAAACAGCCACGTTAATGTTCAGATTTAAAAGGGCACAAATCGGTACTGTGTTTCATTCGAATTAATGTTACACGAAACGGCGTTGAAAGGAACGACGTCTCTGGAATGGGTTCCCTTTGAGAGGAACGGAAGAACGCCGCCGTTTCATCTTGCAGTGTCGAGGTGCAACTAGAGCAGGAACTCGTTACGCTTTAGGGAGATCGGCAGGAAAAACGGTGTTTTTTTTTTTCCCCATTTTTTTTTTTGCTTGTACATCTGAAAGCTTTGCCCGCATTTAGTAGGCATTCGGGATTTTTTTTATCGACTATTTTAACCACCGACTTCAAGGGATGGTTTATACCCCTGTCAGACGGGCTAGTTTAGTGTCACTACAAACGAGTGCACTTCGCCCTTAGTGTCATTTCTTTAGTGTGCCACGCGGCTCCTTCCTGAGGAACACACTTGGCTTGGAGTGAGTTTGGCGAACTCACTTCGCTCGATCGAGTACGCGGCATCAATAGGAGTGTTTCAACAGTAAAACATAACAACAAAGAAACCAAAAGCGTGGCGTAAGTTTTATTTTATAAAGAAAAATAAATTCGTGAAAGAGACGACATGTAGAAGAGTGGCATTTCAAGAAAATAGTGGGGTGGACTTGGAGTTTAGGCTGATCTGGATCAAGATTAGCGCAGCGGTGAATTGATAAAAGGCGACGACAAAGTCAGTCATTCATGGCTATCTTGGTTAGCAGAGAATGATAGAGCCTAGTTTTGTTTCAGCATGTAACTATTCGAGACAACACGATAATTATGATCTCATTAGGCAGTGTCAAGGCCTTCTCGTAGACTTCCGTGAAACGAAGCGGAACGCCAAAGTTGGATATGCTTCGTACTTTATCTTGGCTTGCGATGATCGATCAGAATCATCCAATTGTCATAAAAATCATTCATTAATGTAACGTTGTTTTAGAGCACAGCTCCTAGGCACCCGTTTCTGACTTCAGCGGCGTCGGCGTAACCGCGCGTTGCATTAAGGGCTGTTTCCCGAAATGACGTCACACGTGACGTCACGTGTGTCGTCACGTGTGGTGTCACGAGGGTAAAATTTTCCCGCTAAATTTTTCGATAAAAGCTTTTGCTAAGTTTGGCGGAAAATTTTTCCGCTAAATTTAGAGGAAAAATTTTACCCGTGTGACGTCACGTGACGTCACACTTAAAATTTCAGAAGAAGTGTCATGCGACGTCACACGTCAATACAGCGGGAAATTTAGCGAAATTTTTACGCTAAATGGGATGGGGACAGGAGAGGAGTACGGGAGGGTAGGGAGGGGGAGTAGCTGGCATACCCTCCCCTTCGTACCCTTCCTCTCTCCTCCTCAAGAGCTTCGCTCCAATTCAGCATTACAGAGAATTGTAAACGTCTAATTTTTTTAACGTGTCTTTATTAAGGGGATATCGGTGGCCGAGTGGGCTAGCGCCCACCAGATCGGAGTACGCGGAGAGAAAGCTCGCGCTGGAGAACCCAGTGATCCTGAGCTCCATCCCCAGCCCTGCCCGAAGAACGCACTTCCAATGAAGTGAGTTCGGGGAGCACACTACGCTCGCTCCGGTAGACCGAGTGTGTAATCTCAAAAGCAGTGTTCAAAGAGGAAAAATAATAGAAGAAATTAAAGCTGCTTAAAATTAGTATTATTTTGATAGGAGTAATATTAGATGCGCACTTGTTTTCTGTTAGCAGGAAAGTAGTGCATTGTAGAAAAACAAGAGGCTGATCTAGTTTCCAGCCCTGGCCCCTGCGCGATGGCCAGCGACGGCCAGGAGGCACCTGCAAGACTCCACCAGGAATCTGAAGGTGGCAGGAGAGACGCGAAAGGCTTGCTTAAAATAGAACTCGCCCAAATGGGGCAAGGCGTCTTCGAACCACAGTTCGTTCCTGTGGGAAGTCCTCCGCTCTCGGCTGATCACGGGTAGGTTGTCGGTCATGAGAGCGGCTACGGTGAAGGCATTGGCCTGCAGCTTCTGATCAATGTCACTTGAAATTCTTGCCTCTCCGTCGGCATCCAGGTCCAGCTGCCTCTCATCTGAAAGGCGTTGGGCTCTCAGGGAGAAAAGTGCCCCCACCAGGCGCTTCCACTGTCCAACATCGCGGATATCGCCCTCCTGCTCGTCCTCCACACACTCCATGATGTTTCGTTGTGGCGAATGACAAGTGGCCGAGTGGGCTCACGCACACCAGCTCGAAGCACGCGGAGCGAAAGCTCGCGCTGCAGAACCCAGGAATCCTGGGTTCAATCCCTACTTCTGCTCGTTTCGATCTATACTCCGTTTCACCTTATGTTGTACCGCAGACCAGGCTAGAAGAGCGAACTCATTGCGTTAAGAGCTACTCTTAACGCACGAGAGCCTGTGCCGCCTTGATGTGCCCTAGAGCAAGGAGCTCGCGCTTGTAGCCTTTTCTGCGGTACATCATAAGGTGAAACAGAGTATAGATGAGCATCGCACCGGCTTTCGGACGTGTATCACTGGCTTGTAATGGGCAGTCTTGGGTAGTAACGCGTTACTAGTAACGCGTTACTGTAACTTAGTTACTTTCTTGGTAACTTGTAACTGTAACGAGGTACTTTTTAGAAATGTAACTTGTAACTGTAGTTCTATTACTTTTTTCTGAGGTAACGATGAAAGTAACGACGTTACTTTTGTCGTTACTTTCCAGTGTTTTACGAATAATATATCAGTGACCGAGTGCCATTTAGCCATTCCTTGCACTTTCCAAATCGTCTATTCCGAACATTTCGAGTGTCAAGTTGGCCTTGCACAAAGTTGTGAATACGTTCTTTCTCGCGAGCAGGGCCGTACCCAGAAAAAAATTTCGGGGGGGGGGGGGGGGGGGGGGTTTTCGAGGACAACGGCGGCCATTTTGTCTTATTTTCGCCTATGAATCATGTGCATCGGTGGCATATAATGGAGAGTTATAGCAAACCGAAGAACCGGTCCCGGTTTGGTACCCGGTAGCCGACCGGTGCCACTGCGCGTGCGCAGAGGTGGAGATTAAAATCGGCTGGCTGCAAGTGCACCGACCAGGGCCGTACCCAGAAAAAAATTTCGGGGGGGGGGGTCAGAACCCCCTATCCACCCCCCTGGTTACGGCCCTGCTCGCGAGTGACGACCGGAATATAGCCACGTGTAGATTTCATGAAAACATATCTAGTTATCTTTACGCACGCGCTTGTAGTTTGAGACTAAACATTAAATCTTAGTGTCTTGAAGCACTATCTATGTTGTGGTTTTTCTTTCTTCTGTGTAAACGCTTTTTAATCCGGTTAATCAACCGTGAAACAACAATACACGTGGAGGGCACTGCGCATGTTTCGTATTTTATTAGCGCCACTACTCCGCACTGCGCATGTATCGTATTTTGATTTGCGCCACTACTCGGCGTGGAAACTTTCAAACACTAACTTCGAGAAGCAACTGCTGCTAAGTTACAATATGAAGTAAAAAGCGTACTTTTTTTTTAATTTTACGCAATAAAACGTTGTTAGGGACGTTTTCTAGTTTTTTCTAATTTCTTTTTGTGTTATAGAAAAGTAACTGAAAAGTAACGTCGTTACTTTTTAAAAGTAACTGTAACTGTAACGAGTTACTCTTTTGTTGCGGTAACTGTAAAGGTAACTTCGCTACTTTTTCTGAAAGTAACTGCAACTGTAACGAATTACTTTTTAAAAGTAACTTACCCAAGTCTGGTAATGGGTGATCGTAATGATCAAATTGGATTTAATTTAGGATTAAAGCTCGTGATTTAGCGCAAAAATGAGTGGTATAACGTGTTTCTAACAAGACGACTAAGTTATATATGGAAAAATGTGAATGCACTATAATATTTTGCGTGCCCATTACTTACCCATCGTTATTGCCATCATTTTGGAGTGACACTAAGTTTTCCCGTGTAGCACCAACACACTTGGAGTGTGTTTCGACGGGTTGAAGTGCACTTGCTTGTAGTGACACTAAACTAGCCCGTCTGACAGGGGTATTACTGTCCGAGAGATAGTCGAAAACAAGGAACTGGAACAGATTTAATCGTGTCAGCAGAACGCGTAGTTCGATGTGCTCGCTTCATTTTACCTATGTATCATGCAGTACAGTACTTCCTTTTTATACGCTGTTGTGCCGTTAAAGTAACAAAACGTGCCCATCTTAGAAAGTAAGCGGAAACACATTCCTTTCGAACCACTGGAACTTGTAACGGGAACTCGTGCCCAGATTGAGAAGTAATAAGGAATAAGCTTTTGTTCCTGTTCTTGAGGAACATGGACAGCACTTATCCGAATGCAATACTGCAGTATATTGTTTATACACCACTGTTATAATTGCCCTCTGCGCGCGACAATCGGTCTATTTAGGCTGTGCAACCCATTTGGAGCATGCGCGGTAGCTCTTTGAGAGCGATGAAGAACACAACGTTCATGAAAACGAACCTGACGATTCATTGCTGATGAACATTACACTGCGTGAACGGCTTATTTCACTCTTTCGCTGAACCTTTGTGTCACCTCGTATGTCGATTACCACCATCCCTCATACCAATTCCAATGCGGTTTATAATTTCTGGCTGTAGGACCGTTACGACAGAGCACCGAGAGAAGCAAAGCAAAAAAAAAAAAAAAAAAAAAAGAAACATCGAAGCCTTATCTTCTACACAAACTTCTTCTATGACTCGACCCCCCCCCCCCCTTTTCCCACACACGCACACACACACACACGCCGGTTTTCGACAGGTTGCCCTTGCGACGAATAGCCCTATGACGAACTGCCCTACGCGACGAATTGCCCTGCTACGAGTTGCACTGTTACCAATTGCCTTTCGACGAGCGGCCCGTAGCCCATAATTTCTTTACCACTCCCATCCCTTGAGTGGAACCACCCCCCAGGCGCTATTGTTCCGATTGCTCATTGTGATTCTTTTAGGAAAGCCTTAGTTAATCCGTTATCCTGAATTGTTTTGTTATATTTTTCCTCCCAGGTGTTCTTATTTTGCAATAATTGCTTCCCCTACCATTCCTCTGTAATGCTATATGCCTTGAGGGTAAATAGATAACAATAAATGACACGAAAGGCCTAAAGAGGGGTATAATTTTGCTAGTCATTATGGTTGTAAATATTGGAGTTCTTATGCTCCATTCTTAGAAAAATGAATAAAAAGCATTACTCATTTCTGTCGCTGTGCAGTCAAAACATTTGGGTGAGTGCGTGCTTGAGCACCTATCTTGAACGCTGATCGACGCTCTGCATGAGAACTCTTCACTACTGAAATGCCTCAGAAATGCGGAGCTATGCTCAGAAGCGAAAAGATGGGCGAGAGTGCGCAGAGGAGCAGGTACTTATATCGACTGTCGCAAATAATTATAATGTGACTTCTTTCTTCTTTCTAGAAGGTTCATCTCTTAGACAATTAAAAATAAATTAAAAAAAGGACATTAGTGTGCAGAAAAAAAAACAGCATTCTTGTAAGGCTATTTATTTATCGTTGAGGTAATCACTGAGAAAAGGTATGCTTTAAAAAGATGTGTAGTTTGCGTACATGTTTGCGTTTTCATGTGCTTTATTTCTGTATGTGATCCCTGTATATGATGCGTTCAGCCGATTGACGATGCGTGTAATGCGTGTGTAATATAAAGTGTAGGAGATGCAATGCTAACCACACGAGCAATGCAAATATTTTTCTGGCATTTTAATTTGGAATTAGCTGTCGCCACCTAGCTTCTTGAGCTAAGTGACAACTACGGTTTTCGCGGTGGTTATTATCTGTCTCTAAAGCAATGTACTGGTTTCTACTAGGTGCTAAGGATGAGGCTAGTTCCCGTTACTAAGCCAATTTATGTGACACGCAGTTACTATCCGGCAGTTTGTAAGTACACGATCTTTTTCTCAGAGTGTAAAGCTAAATTCTTCTTGGGGCCCTATATTCGAGAGGCTATGAAGCACATCTTTGCGATACTCGGGAGTACTTCGTGGTCGTTTTCTTGTTTATGACAGGGACGTCCTATCATAATGGTATAATAACGATACTTGGTAAAGCTGAAACTTCTGTCTAGTTGGAGTAAAACCTTTATTACCTGGTATTCACAGTATACCATCTGCTCGTCAGCAGGGCCACTGTATAGTTTGCAGTCCCTTCCTTCTTGTTCGTCGTCTCCTTTTAAAAATATGTGTGGCTTAAACCAGCTCTCATGTTAGCTAACTTTGTCTTCAGCCACTGAAATATTTATTACCGGAATGTGCCCGGTCTTAACCAGAAGTCTACACACGGTGCCGTCGCTGAGCACTCATCCCGAATGGCGCAGAAGACGCGGGCGGCCGTTGTCGTCACTCTGAGTGAGACTCGCGTGGTCTGTCCGCAGGCGGCATCATTTCGGGCCACGACCTGCACTCTTACTTTTCCAAGTGGCGCGAGCCCTCGGAGGCGTGGCTTCCAGACGGGTCCCGGCTGCTCAGCTCCCCAGCCCCGAGCAGCGGTCCCATCCTATTGTACGTGGTCGCCATGCTGAGCCAGATGAAGGCCCCCGGCTCGGAGGCCCTGCTGTACCACCGCCTCGTCGAGATGTACAAGTACGCGTACGCAAAGCTCAACGAACTCGCCGACGAGGACTTCGCCAACGTCACTGTGGTGAGTCCGCGCCGTGCATGGAACGTTTTAACCAGTGTCTACTATGGTCCGTTTCCCCATACGCCACCTATTATCAAAGCTTGTGCACGAGACCTTTGACGTCATCACAGTGAGGTCGAGCAAGGACACCGATTGGACACGGGTGCTACGTCTGCATTCGGCTGGGCCTCGTGTCCAATCGACGCTCAGAAGGACGCTCGGCATCGCACTCAGGTCCAGTTGCTGGAGCCACTCAAGCAGCGCCAAAAGTGCGTCGTCACAGCGCTCATCGAGTTTGTGCATTTGCTATCTTCGGCTAAACGAGCCATGTCCCCTGAGACATTCTGTAAGTTTTGTATCATATAAACTCATACAAACAAACAAACAAACGAACTGAGCTTTTTTCCATACGTGATTGATAGAGACTTCGTTGTACTGTCCGTTTTTTTATTTTTCCTTCGTCTCAGGTTTATTATGGATACCATTCACCAGCTCGCCTGTGTTTTTTACCTTTCTTCAGTGATTGATTTAGCCGGTGATATCAAAGGCACAAAGACGACGAGCGCCACGACGACGACGCACCGTTGGGAATACTTTATTTGATCCTTCGGATCATACCGTTATGCCGCGCTCGGCCTTCATGCGAAGCGGAGTGTATATATACATTTTCTACAGGGCGCGCCATCTTGAATCGCGGAACTTCCGGTACGCGTGAGAACATCGTTTTGCTCTCACCGCACCACTGGGAAAAGCTCGCGTGTTTAATGGCGATTCTTGTTTTGCCTTTACTATGTTCGTTTACTTGTTCTAGGTTGTAATGCCTCGCTTTTTTTTTTTTTTTTTCATACCTCATATTGGATTTTTTAACTACGCGGCCGGGGACGAGGGTAAATGGAAATGTTCTATAGGCATTGACATCGTAAGAAACATAAAAAATAGCTTATTATGTTTACGCTTCTTTTTTGCTTCAGTCGCGGGAGATAACTTTTGCACATACTATGAACGCGTTCCGCAGCCCAGTAAACTAAGATGGCAGCCCGCAGAAAGAGAGACAAAAAGAAAACTTAGTTCTGTAGGAGTCTAACGTCCCTGTCCGGGTGGCCTGTACGGTCCAAGTCTCGCGCATGGACTCCGCGAGGGGACCGGACTGGTGAACGAGTGCTTGAAGTGCGGTTGGTGTGTCGGTGCCTGGAGGTGGAGCCAGCCATTCCTCCCATGAAAGGATGTGCAGAGTGAAGGGGGGGGGGGGGGGGGGGGTCGGCGGGTTACAGGACTAGTAGGTTTGAGGGATGGAGGTGTAATCGCCGCATTCGGGGCAGGTGGGGGACTCGGAACGTTTGTTAATGTGGTGGAAGATGGGGTGTGATGGTGAGGAGTTGGTCTGGGCTTGTCTGATAAGGGAAGCTCTGGACATGGTTTTTTGGGGGGGGGGGGGGGGGGGTACATGGTCCGCGGTGGCCGCTGTTCTTCCAGACTCGACTTCAGCAGGGCTCGGCCAGTGTTTTTTGCTGTCCCTGCAGAGTAGACGGTCCGCCGTGACGTGGCGGGGCCCGGGGGGTTTTCGCGGGTAAAACAATGAGCTGTTTCATTTCTGCGACGCCTTGGTGGCCAGTGTTCATACAAGGCGGGATTTTTCATCGCAGTACCGGAAATTTATTTGATGGACTAGGTTAGCCGTGACACTGTTCAGGGTATTGTTGCTATATTTCTTAAGGTTCGCTGCGAGTCCGCGAATATGAACGTGGGATGTAAGTTAGGACTTCAAGGTGCTTCAACAACTTCAAGGTGCAACAACACAACAACTACAACATTCTTTCCGTTCGCGTCGCCCATCCGCCGATGTCGGCACCTTCCTGGGCTGCCCACGCTCCCCCTTCCCCCGACAGTCGCCCCTGACAATCCGGAAAACAATAATTGTTCCCAGAGCGCCCAACGAACGCTCCGCCCAAGCGACCTTGAGCGCCCGGTCCCACAGTCGACTCTTCCTCTCTCCTGCGGACGCCGCCACACAGACGATAAGCAGACCTATTGGCGGAACGTTAAGGATAAATAAAAACAGATAAAACTGGAATTCGTGACAAAGGTGAACTGTAGTGCGGTGGTTTATACTTCGATTGCATCGTAGCCCAGTTAAAGTGTTCTGGATTTGTCCGGGGCTTCCTCGTGTGGTCCATAACGTAATGTCATCCGCGTAAATTGAGTGATGCCAATCGGGGATATCGTTCAACTGTGCTGGTAAATTCGTCATCGCAAGGTTGAATGGTTTGGAGTATATAATAGAGCCTTTCGATGTGCACCTGTTGAGTTTGAAGATGGAATTTGTTTCGTTGGACATGTTTATGGAGGCCGTCCGGTTTGTGAGGAAGTCGTGCACGTTGTCGTACATTCGTGGTCCACATTACCGTGTTGACAAGCTTGAATAGAATTGCTTCGTGTTTTAGGTTGGCATGTGCTTTGTGTAAGCCCAGGGCTCCCATGCCTCTTAGTGAACTTGAGTTGGGGCTTATACATTGTGTTTTATGTGTAAGTGCACCTTGAGTGCATGTATTTCTACTGAAACCCGTTTGGGCTGGGGCCAGGTCCTTTTTCGCTCGGAGGTGCCATTCCAGTTAAGCCCAAACTATTTTTTCTGTTAACTTTTTCATACAAGAAGTGAGGGAGATACGCCTGAGATTTTTAATTCGTGGGGTTTATAGCCGTGTTTGGGAATAAAACATATGTTGGAATGATTCCAATCGATTGGTAGTCTCCCGGCCGACCACATGTGATTGTATATGTCGAGGAGCTGGTCAAGGTCTTTGTCGTTGAGTTTTACAGCGAAGCTGTTATAAGCTAGGGTCTGGGAAAAAATGCGTCCTCACATGTCGACAGAAAGCTCCACATTGGTCGTGGCAAGTATGAATAAATAAAAATAAAAAGAGAGGGCAACCAGAGTGAGTCAGCCTTTATTAATAGTTTTTAGTACGCATGCTTGCGCGGCTTTTCAGGTTGGCGGAAAGGAAAGGCGAAGTAAATATTGGAGTTTTTTAAGCATGCCGCGAGCAAACCTGCTGTGACATCTTTGTGGTCTTATAAGTGGATTCTATCGATTATGTGGAAATCGTAAGTTAAAGACGTTGAAATGCCCATAATTCACCCCTAGTTGTTATGCAAATTTGTAAGATCTCGTGTGCCGCGAACTAACGAGATCGTATTCTTCATTTTAAATCTCTTGCACTTCAACAGATCTTAGTTCAAAACTTTGCTTCATTTCTCCCAACAACATCTTGACGTTCTTCGCTACTACGCAAAAGCTAAAGCTGGTTCACAAAAGCCTATTGTGACTGCTTTAAGACCTGTTGTGTTGATGAGCAGCCGGTCGTGAACAGTCGCAAGAGGTTAAAAAACTGGTCGTGGTGCACTCCATTTTAGTCAAATGCATATATTTGTGAGCACCATGCAGCCTTCAGATGAGTGTTGGAATATTATAAATGCCTTTTATTTTCTGCTTGTTGTAAGGAATTCGTTGGTTGAGGGACGCATAAGACACACGAAATAAAGGTGATACTATGACCTTAGTAATGCACTGTTGTGTGATCTCAGTATGATGGACTACGTATCTTTTTTTGGAACGTTCGGCAGGCACTGTCTAATACACTGACCCTTGTCCCAAGCAATGCCATGATGCCACGCAACAGCGACCTTTTTAGAGGGATCACGAAACGATATCGGGTTGGAATGCTTATGAATTTGCAGAGGCGCACTGGTCCTTGTCAGACCCATGTATAATTGCACAGACCGCCACTGAGTTAGAAACTTTGTCGCGGTAAATTTGCGAGGATAAAAGGGGACAATTTCTTTTAGTCTCGCCTTCGCAAAGCTTTATGTCATAATTGTGGGATCCAAGTCACCCACCTGACGACAGTCGAGCTCGGCTCATGGGTATGACACGAGAACTGGGTGAGCACTGGATTTCGGCTCGTAACAATCAATTCCTAGGCGGACACTCGGACAGCGGCTCGTGTCCAATTACTGCGTTGATGAGAATAGCCTAACTCCAACAATGCTTGGAGCTCAGCACGCGTTTTCTACTTTGCCAACCCCAGCACATGGCTACGATTAACCTTGGCGGCATAGGATCGGCACCAGGCTACGTGGCCACTCGTTCTGGCTGCGAGTTGAGGGGATGAACGATGCTCATATTTATCGAATTTTTTTGGCGGCTGCCATTGCATGGAAAGAAAAACTGAGGCAAGGTTATTTCGTTATTAACGTTAGGAGTGATTCTAAGTAGTAGTTGGCAAAAGTATAAAAATTGTTTCATGGCTTCTTTAAGTTTTCAACAATCCTAAATTGAGCACGGCGCATTGGGCTCGTCTCGCAGCATGTGCACGACCTGCTGTCTGCCGAGCACGTGCGCAAGACGCTGCGGCTGATCGACGACGAGCGCACGTACGACGACCCCCGGCACTACGGCCTGCACCGGCTCGGGGCCACGCAGCACGGGTCGTCGCACTTCTCCTTCCTCAGCCCCACGGGGGACGCTGTCTCGCTCACCAGCTCGCTCGGAGAATCGTGAGTGCTGTCCCGAGGCGCCTATCTGCCAGCGGAGAGTGGCTGCACATATACGAATAGAAGCCGACAAAAGGCCTATTCATGCACACATGCAGCGGAGCGCTACAGCGCTGACCTCGCGCTAAGCGCGTACTGACGGAAGCGTTCACCCGCTTTGTATTGCACCGCCAAAACTGTTGCTCATGGCAGGCGATAAGGAGATGACGACACGAGAGGAGCGCTACATCAGTGCTTCGCTGCATGTGAGAACCGGCCTGAAGAGGGACCATGAGAGCGCACGGGGACGTAAGAGCGCCGTGCTCTGGTTGGAATGGTTGGTGGGTAGACGAAAATGCTGTATTCCGTTATTCCTTAAGCTGAGACTGCAACCAAAGCGTCAAGCTCAAGTTAGACCGCAGTCCCGGTAAATGGTATTTACCAAGCACTCTGCGGTCTTGGGTAGTTTCGCGTGCCGCCTCTTCACGAAGACAAATGTGGCGCTGTGGTCAGGGTCCTGGCAGAGAGCCTTCATACAAACACATGCTTTTGCTTGAGTTGTAACATCTCAGCCATTTCTATCGCTAATCGTTTTCTTTAATGTGTTTTGAAGTGCGCGCAATTCGGTGGGACTCAGCTCTAGCGTGTAGCATTGGCTGATCCTTAGACGCCGTGTTACCGCACAAGTGATGCATTGAGTGCGGCAGCGCATCACTCCCTGGCGCACTCATTGTAACAAAGGATGTCTGCACCCTGAGACAGAAAGACACATAGGCACCTTACGTCCCTGTTAATTTCTGTTCCAAGTGGCGTGGCGTGGCATGAAGTGTCTCCTCTATACTTAAAGGGGCACTGACACATCAAAATCATATTTTTTTTTTATTAGCCGAAACGATTGAAAACGATTCTGGGACATTAGCCTCAAAATTCTAAACTTGGGAATTTAGTATTTGGGAAGTAAAAAAAAAAAAAAACAATTTCCAAATGCCGAATTTGAAGTTCCCGCTCGATCCGCGCCGGTGCGTTGACGTCAAATATTGCGGAGTCCTAGTTCACTTTCTTTCACGACTCCGTGCTGTTGCCATCGCGACCCAAAGTGAGGAGGAGAGGAGCGAGCGCCGGCGGACCGCAAAAAAACGGTTCTGAGCGGCGTCGCCTGTTTTCCGAGGGAAGATACAAATCCAGGAGGCGGCACTACAACAGACTGATTTTTGGTATTTTAAAAAGAAGGGCCCATAGTGCGGTCGCAATTGCGTTAAAAACATGTATTACGATTGCCGTTATTAAATGTTATAGAAATGTCGCCTACAAAGCTTCTAAATTTCATGATTTTTGACGTCACCGATCAAAAGAAGCGAGGAGGCGAGGAGAGGCAGAGGAGAGCGCCAGAAATAGAACGGCGCGCGCGCGCGTAAAATATTTTTCCGCTATGCGTTTTTTGGCGTGTCTATGACTACAACTTCCATCGTTTTAGACAATAAAAAAAAAGAATACAACCCTTAGGGTGTCAGTGCCCCTTTAAATGTGCCCTGAGGTGGTTTCTGAGGTCGCCTAAGTATGACGATAACTCACCCTTCGGGCTCTAAGCATCCTTGAATTCCATAAATCATAACGATGTGCACCTGATTTCCCCATTAAAAAGGCAATAAAAAATCTAAAACACCGAAGTCATTTTCGACGATGGGAGGAGCATCAATCCAGCCGCCAGAACGAAATGTGACCAATGAAAAAGCGACATTTTGTTGATATTGCAAACGCTGTTATTACAAAACTGAATGCTTTTGTAAGGATAAAAGCAAATAAGAGTAGCGAAAAATATTACTTTTCCGTGGAGAGGGAACATAATACTGCAATAATCATCTAAAAAAGAGCACTACTCTTTTTTTTTTTTTCACTGGAGTGATATGCTCTTGGGCGCTTCGCGCTGGGTTGAATCCATGGTGGAAGAAACACATTTAGGTGATGACTCTCTGTCCGACGCGGCGGCCCCATTAGGGAGTTTTCGTAGACCGCGTTTTCCCCTCCGCTAAGCCCTCCGCGACGAAGTAGCCGCTACTGCGCCTGCGCGCCCATGGCCTTGACTGTAGAGTTCCGGGTATCGTAGCGAGTTGCGCAGGGCGTTGCGGGACGGCGAAAACGATCTACGAAAACTCCCTATTTTCTCCGCTTTGCTTTGCTTTGGTTGTGTGCTTTAGTGCGTAGCAGCAGAAACTGTTCGCTAGGTGTATTTTGCTTTTGCTATCAGGCACAACGTGCGTAGGACGAAACCTAAAAACAAACCCGAATATGCCGAGCGAAACGATCGGAAGTTGTGTGTAATTGTTACGATGGAATTCTACGATAGCTTCACGTCTGCCAACACCGCTCGGATATTTCGCCTTGGAGACCAACGAGCATAGGTCTAAGTGCTCTTCGCGCGCTTCCAAACTTCGAGCAGTAAACGAAAGGATATACGCGCTCGATTCACGGGTTCCGGAAGCAACAACAACAATCCTAACTTCAGCGACAGCTCATGTCGGTGGGAAGGCCTAGCAAGGTGCTTATCACTCACTGAAACCATGATTAGTGACCACAGGGGAAGAAATATTTAGGTGATGACTCTCTGTCCGACGCGGCGACCATATTATGTTCGGCGCACCGAGCGCTTCACTCGCATTGAGGTAGATGGCGCTCAAGTATGCGGTCCCTCCCAAACCCACCGCTCCGGTTGTTTCTCCCAGTGTGATCCCGCATTCCCTCGCTCAGCGCTGCCTGTTGTAACTCACCGCCTCAACGCTGCCACCAAGTCGCCGGAGTCCGTAAATCTGTGTTCTTTTCCTTCTTCTTCTTCGGGTTAAAGCTAATCTTCGAGCACGATCGTGGCACCGATGATCGCCACTGCACCAAAGCAGAACACAAGGCCAGCCACTGCCCGCAAACCACCACCACTGTCCACACCACCACACCGCGAAAAAGGCGAGCACGCTGCGCCACCGACAAAGTGGCCTCCAAGGAGGGACCTCACACCGTAGCGCCCTCCGCGGCGGCGCGGAACTAACTACTCCTGATTCGAGGCCAGCTCCGAACAGGATCTGGTCGCTCGCTCCCCGCGGGAAGAGCGGCCAGAGTCATCACCTAAATGTATTTCTTCCATCGTGTTTGAATCGTAGTCCGGGCTGGGCATGAGCAATGACCAACGAGCCATGCGTATTCGAGATATCACTCCGCGGGTCCACTGGTCAGAGGTGTGAGGATCCTTCGCTTGCTATTTGCTGTCAGTGGTCCTGGTTTGGGAACATGCTCCTCCCATCGCCCGAGATGACATCGGTGTGTGGCAATTTTTGATAGCTTTTTTAATAGAGAAATCGGCCGTGTATTGCTAGGATTAAGAAATTTTTAGGATGTTTCGAGCCAGCACAGTGAGTTAGTGCCCTATTTTGCGATCTCAGAAACCTCTTCAGGGTAAAGCCCCTTTATACGGAAAAGTAGCGACATCATTTGAAAAATGCCGCCTGCCATCTTGGGCCGATTCAGGCGGCGCTACCGTCGACCCGCGGGAGTAAAAAAGCGAGACATAAAGATAAAAGGTGTGTGCGTCAGAGGAGGAGGGAGAAGGAATGCCTATGCTGTCGGGGTGGTGTGCATGCTGTGAGCTCATGTAGCCAATCAAATAACGCCGACTGTGCAACGTCACAGCTTGCATCTTCTTTCTTTGAGCACATCCTTCCAGGCTGGTAGACTATGACAGTGCGCTTTTAGCCTGTGTATGTATTTGCGTGTCTTTCAGCTTTTGACTGCGCTCTGGCTGAAGTACAGGAAGGACATATGCTATCTTGGGCCGATCCAGGCGGCGCTACAGTCAACGCGCGGTTGTAAAAAAGCAAAACAAAGGTGTGCGCGTCAGAGGAGCAGGGAGATGTCGCTACCTTTCTTATGCAGGAGCATCACCTCAGGGCACCTTTTAGCCGTTTCACACGACGGACCGAATCGCGATTTATGTCCGCGGACGGTGTACCACGTGATCGGCGCGTCACCAATTCCTGCGATTCGCGCCTCGTCCGCGGACCGGCTGACTGATAAGGTGGAGCGCCTTTTCACTCACATTTTTTTTTTTTTTTTTTGCAGAAGATTGACTTGAAAAGGCGTTTAGTTTGGCAAGAGTACCATGTTTTCTTCCATTTTTTTTTGGGGGGGGGGGGGGGGGGTCATTTTGTTCCGCGATTTTTGCTTTACACGTGAAAGAAACTTTGTCCGGCTGACGCGATACAGGTTCCGGTACTTTTCCGGGTCCATGTCAAGAAGCTCCCGTTAAAACTCGTCTAGCACCGGGCTTGACGTCACGGAGCTGCGGCGGCGCTGCGATCGCGCCGGAGCCCGGGGGCTGTGGGCAATAGCGCGCACCTTTCGCATGGGCGTCATAGCATTTCAGCATGCCGCGAAGCTGTGTTGCCGTTAATTGCACCGAAATGTACAAGAAAAGCAGCGGAATGAGTTTCCACAAGTTCCCGGCAGACTCTGAAAGGCATAATAGAAGGTGGATAATATCCGTGGATCGAAAAGAATGGTCGCCTCGCGCGAACGACCGTTTGTGCGGCAAACAGTTTCTTAAAGGCAAGTGCGGCTCCCATTTCAATCTCCGTTCCGAGGCTTGCTTATGTGCAGGGAAACCGTTGTCTGATCGAGACCACCCGAATTTTGTCCCCATGGTGTTCGCGCACAAAGCAACGGCCAAGCGCTCGTCGGATGCTCGCTACGCCCGTGCTACCCAGCAGAAGGGGATCGGCGACAGAACGGCAGTGTTGTAGGCGTTACCGAAAAAAGTAACGAAATACGTTACTCGTTACTTGCAAATCAATGGTACGCGTTACTGAACTACGTTACCTAAAAATAAAAGGAACGCGCTACCGCTACCGATAAAAAGTGACCCATGTTACTTCTGCGTTACTTTTTTTTAAATTATAATTTAACACATTTTACGGTTTTGACGATACAGGTCATATATCAAGAAACATTATGTTCATGCAGAAACTGAACATAATTACTTCATCTCTTTTTTACAGTTTCACCTAAATACGTGAAAAAACGCAAAGAAAAACATGGCTTGACGCCTAAAACACAGAAACAAATCGAAGTGTAATTTCTTTAAGACTTGGGAAGTAGTAACGACTAACGTAACTACGTTACTTGAAATGGTAACATAAATTCGTTACCCGTTACTGTGTCGAAAACGTAACGAGTAGGTTACTACGTTTCTGAAAAAAATAACGCGTTACCAACAACGCCGTTACTTGTAACCTGTTACCGCCAAGACTGCAGAACGGACAAACCGTTACTGCTTGTCATGCCTTGTGGTCATGAGGGTAGGAAAAATATACCTTGACTTGAAGACACTGTGTGTATTTAATCAATTAATGAATACACACACTTCCGCAGACCCAGAGACTGCTGATCCCGCCGGCAGTGCGGAAACCGACTCGAAGTAATCGTAGACCTCGAGAGACGTGTACGCCTGCACCGTGTCGGCCGTGAACTGGCTCGGCGAAAAAACTAAATATACGACGACGTGAGCCGTCGACTTCCGTGGCAGCAACTTTACGTCGGAAGTCTAGCAGACCTTGTTTACGACGTCCGGATCTTCGTAGGCGACGCGTCCACGCACAGTTTGTTTCGATACCGCAGCCGTTCAGGCTCGGGCCACGAGCTCAAATAGTCGGGCATAGCATACCACATACCTTGTGAAGAAATACGACGCACAAATAAAGATACAAGCGTCCCTACAATGTCAACAACGAGCGCACGCCATAGAACGCAATGGCGAAAACACGGAGAGCCGGGATGCTTTTGCCCACATAGCTACCGCGCATGCGCGGCCTTCCGGCCGTGTTGGTACATAGCTGCTCTCCGAGCCTGGCGCAAGTGTAGCCACCGGAAGTTCGATGCTTGTCTCGGAAGTCAGGCGTGTGCTAGGCTTCCTAGTGTATTCAGACGCTATTTTGGTCCATGATTTTCTGTGTATTTGATTGGGTTTTAATACACCCGTTCTGAATTAAATCCCGAGAATAAGGCGTTTGAACGTGGGACCTACACAAACTTGATCAACTAGAATCTCAAACTTTTCACATCGAGTGGCTTCCCAGGAGACTTCTCGGGTCCGCATGAAACACATGTACGACGAAATCGTCCGATCCGACGTCCGATCAGGCACTACGACGGTCGGAGGCGAGGTTTTTCAACGCACTCCGGTGCTACGAAAACCCTCACCCCCGAAGTTGTTTCCGGCAGTTCGCACGCCGGATCGGACGGATTCGTCGTACATGTGTTTCGCGCTTTACTTTGAAACAAGCAGGCTCTCTTTGGATGACAAGAAAAAATCTAGTGCCCTGAACGCTCTTCAATTCAGCACTCGGAAGAGTTGAAAAGCCTGTCAAGCGCTTACTTCCGGGACAAGCCGCTTTCTTCCGGTGGCTTCACTCCTGCTCAGTGCGCCATTCAGCCCCCTATAGTGGAGATCAGTGCGCACGCCGCGATAATTCTTGCACGCCCAATCATTCTTTCAGCGAGCAAAACCTTTCTTGTGGCTGTGGTGTACTTGAGTGTTGTGCACAAGCGCGGAGTGCGTGAAAGCATCTCCAAACGCCTCTCCGCAAAACAAGAATTTTGTTGCTTCTACGCTGAACCCTTCTCGAGCAGGACCATGTCTGTGCCACTGTCATGCCTTGGGTTAGTGAAATTAGTGGCGCTTTGTGCGAAGTCTACCAGGGTGTTCTGTCTCGATTTCTACGTAACAGCGGCGTACGATTATCTATCGTGGTAGCAAACGTCAACGGCGCCACGGTGCGATGTTGGAGCTTCGAGGCACTGTGGGGGTGGCGAATATGTTCGCTCCGTCCTCGCTGGCCTCTGCTCGTCGTCTCCCTTGTGTGGATGCGTTTGGGAGACGGACGAACCGCGGACATGTCGTCACTTGAATAATCGATCCGCGGATCAGTCCGTCGTGTGAACTGGCCATAAAGTTGTGTACTGGAGTGTTATGATCGAGCGCGGGGCACGAGAGCGTCTCGTACTCCAGGTGCTCATGCAGGACGCATGCACTTCTACGCCAAGCCTCCTTGAGTTTGACTCCACTTGTTATCATGCCTTGTTTTTTTGTAACGCTAATGTCGCATCGCGCTAAGCACGTGTTGTGTCTTGCTGAGTATTTAGCAATTCTTCCAGGCTGCAATTGGCGGCGTTCTCATTTATAATTTAAAATCAAGAAGAAAATCAGCCGCTTCGCGCCTCATTCTAAGAGAAGTTATATATCCGCGATGCAAGAATTTAAAGCGTCATTATTTTTTCTTCCCAAAGATTCTGACCTTTTTTTTTTTTCGTGAATGGACGCACTTTGATCGGACAACAAAGAACTTTAGCTTTAATCAGTGGTTTGTGAACTCCACTTAAAGAGCAAAATTCGTAGTAGGCCATTTTACCCACTTGAATAGAGAGGTTATCGAAATTGCAAGAGAACGTCCGTGCCTTACCAGGCATGCTGTTTCCACCATGCTGCTAAACGACCCTGCATGCATCTTAACGAGGTTCCCCGCTAATAGGAAAGAGTCAAAATTCTACAGGTTATCGCCCGCCTAAACACGACAGGGCTGTCGCCCCATCGCAAAGTTTGGGTTTGTCATTGTCGTACTCTTCGTTTAAAAACAGCTGTACTCTTGAAGAAACCGCGGCTTCTTCTAGCAGAGAGAGAGAGAGCACATTGGCCGCAATTTCAAAACAGTGCGCCTGTCCAAGTAAGTTCTACGCACTGCACGCTATGCCGGAATCGGAAACGAGTGTTCACTTTTCTGCCTGTTCTAGATGATGGCCAGAATTTACCCAACAAAGACGTTATCAAAGTAAAAAATGAAATCCGTTTACAACTCCCTGTAACACCGAATTAGAGCGGAGCTCTTGAGGAGGAGGAGGGAAGGGTACTGAAGACGTGTTCTTGGGGGGGGGGGGGGGGGGGGGTCACGTGACCTGGGGTGTAGTCGCGTGACCTGAGGTCACGTGACCCCCTCCCCAAGGTAACGTGGGGGGTCACGTGACCTCGGGGGACGTGATTTTAGGGGTCACGTGACCTCGGGGGTCACGTGACCCCCCAGAAAAATTTCCCTGCTAACTCTAGCGGAAAAATTTTACGCTAGATATAGCGGGGAAATTTTCCCGCTAGATTTAGCGGGAAAATTTTTCCGCTTGATTTAGCAGGGAAACTTTTCCGCTACATTTAGCGGGGAAATTTTTCGGCTAGATTTAGCGGGGAAATTTTTTCGCTAGATTTAGCGGGGAAATTTTTCCGCTAGATTTAGCGGGGATATTTTTCGCTAGACTTTGCGGGGAAATTTTCCGCTAGATTTAGCGGGGAAATTTCTCCGCTAAATTTAGCGGCAAAAACTTCTCCGCTAGGTTTAGCGGAAAAATTTCTCCGCTATATCTAGGGGGAAAATTTCCCCGTTAAGTCTAGCGGAAAAATTTCCCCACTAAATCTAGCGAAAAAATTTCACTGGGGGTCACGTGACTCCCCGAGGTCCCGTGACCCCCGTGGTCACGTAACACCCCCAAGGTCACGTCACCTTGGGGAGGGGGTCATGTGACCCCACCAAGGTCACGTGGCCACTTCCCCCCCCGAGGTCACGTGACCCCCCCCCCCCCCCCCGAGAACACGTGGACCTCACTACCCTTTCCTCCTCAAGAGCTGCGCTCTAATTCGGTGTTACAGGGAGTCGTAAACGGCTTTCATTTTTGTTCAAGCAACTGTTGTGTATGGTATACCAGTGCCTAGGGCCAAATCCACCTTAAAAATATCGAATAAGTTAATATTTGGCAAGGGCATTGCAGCTGAATAACGGTAGCAGCGGCTTATCACTAAGATTGTGCAGAAAAACCACGCACTAGTCAATCCAACTCGATTTGTGCTGAATTGACTCGAAATGTACTCCCCTACATTATTGGTACTCGTGTGTTATTTTTTCTTCTTTTTAGCCTTCCAACACGTGTTAAAATTCGCGTTTTAGATTTCAATCTTATTTTGATTCACCCTAAAGGCCGGTTTAGCCAGTGACCTTGACCCCGCTGGGCTACCTTGCGTTGTACTGCGACACATGCCGCGGGCGGCGGCCCTGATCCCGTCGTAAGCAGTCGTGAATGGTCGTACCAAATATCAATTGTACTGAAAAAAAAAAAAAAAAGCTTGAAGGTTTGTTTATGCAGTACCATTTGCTTACACTGAGTTGCGTTACGGAAACTTAGATCCACTTACGTTGAGTTTCGACCGCGAGTCACCAGGACGTTTGTGCTCCATGCACGCAACGTATACGAGGCACGAATGCCCCCACTTACCCGCAGTAGTACTAAAACGTTAAGCAAACGTAAGCTCCTGTGTGAATGATCTTTAAAGTTTTAAAACATTCGAGGACCGAGCAATCGATGAAAGGTTTCGTTCTGTGGTCGACACAGCTTCGGGGCCCGTTGCATCGCGTCCTCGCTGGGCGTGATCCTGAACAACCACATGTCCGAGTTCACATTGCCCCGGCCCCAGCCGCTCGTCCTGGGCTACACGCCCAACGAGAACAACTACATCTCGCCGGGCAAGCGGCCCGTCACCACCATGGCGCCCAGCCTGCTACTCGATCGCCGAGGGGACGCCGTGCTGGTCATCGGGGCCTCGGGGGGTGCCAGGATCGTCAGCTCAGCATCCTTCGTGCGTGTGCCACAAGTCTCTCACCGGGAGCTTTTTGACGTCTGCTAGATAACAAAGTCGTACACACTTAATCTGTTTCCCGATAGGTTCCACTTAAATTACCGTTCGACGAATTCGTCCTGGAAGAAGTCAAATGTCTATGTGATTCAGCGATTATATGTGGAACGCCGGTTCCCTTCGCTTCATTTTTACTCTTTCCTTTTTACTTGGCACACGTAGGCGATACGCGGGTTGTCCTTTCATTTCCTCATGGCTCCCCTTACCCTTCTTCACTTTAGCACCAATCTGCTCCAATTAAAACTCCAGAGAGTGTTTTTTTTAGATTTCATTTATAATTATCAATTATATGAAACCCTGTTTTTTATAAAGTACGATGAGTTTGCAAATACCTGAAACACGGATTTTTATGAGCTGCGAAGTATTGCTTCTGTTTAAGCGGAACTTTTTTACCAAAATGTTTCGTTTACAACCGAAACTTTGGTGAAATTCGCGATTAAGAGTATAGCGCGAAATGTGTGGCTTCAATTAAAGAAAATGCGGAGCGCTGATGGATACTGAGTCGTTGTTTGGTCGAGACCCGTGTTCGGTTAGTGAGGATACAAGGTCCGTCCAAGCGATGAAGCCGTACTCGCTGTGCCCCGCATCGTTCTTGAGGAAATGACGAAAGTTCAGACCTGTAACTTTCTTATCTGGGAGGTGCAGGTTATTTCTGTTTCCGTTGGCTTACTCTTGTTCACCTACTCCTGCTAACCTACCCTTCCTCGCTTTCTCTGCTCCCACTCTCTCTCCTCCCTTCACCTTTTCCTTGTGGAAAATTTATTTCCTTCACACAAAATAAAAATCACGCGGAACGATTTTTTGTTTTAGTGTAATTTTTGTGCTTGCTATTTTCGCAATCGGAAATGCCGCGGAAGGGTATTTTATGCCTTGCAGAGAAACGAGGTTTATGTCGGTCTTTAGCATATAAATTAATATTGTACTTGAAAGTGAGTAGGAAACAGATGTGAGCTCCTATGAATATGCAACTCTTTTCCCACTCCTGATCATCGAATTGCCATATAGCGCCGGAGCAATGACCAACCCAGTTTTATCCGTTAAATATTTTCCCGCCGTCGCCTATCCATAGCTGCTATACGCCCGCTCACTGTGCTTTTAACATTCCGTTGAATTGTATTTTTGGACATTGCCAAGCGTTAACATTTGATCGAATAGTACTATGAGATCAGACATTCTTTTTGATGGCTAAGTCTATATCACGGTACAAGCGTCGCTCATTCGGCCTTGCCTTGAACAGCACTGCCTCTCCAAATACTTTATTAGGAGAATACACATTACTCCACTCGTTTGCATTGGACAGGACGCCTACAGCACCAAATTATCCTCCCTTGAGAACGGACCACGTCCTAGAGAACACGCGCGCACCGGGATTTCACGGTGCGCCGAGGTATCGAAAACTGCCACCGGCACACCGAGATACGGGATTCGCTAAGACAACTGAGACTAGCGTCACAGCTGTCTCGACGGGTTTCCACGATGATAGATTGCGGCACCCTCCTCGAGGCTGCGCGAGGCCAGCCGCTACCGAGTACTCAAAGCCCGTCAGCACAAAATCGCCATTGGTTCTTCGCAGGGTGTGGCGTATTCCGCAGTAAAGTAATCCGTCTGCGCGTGTTTCAGGTGATGCACAACATCCTGTGGAGAGACATGAGCCTCCGAGACGCTGTCGAGGCGCCGAGGCTCCACCACCAGCTGCTCCCCAACGACGTCGTCTACGAGCACAAGTTCTCTGAGGTGCGTCGCTCTTTCGGCCTTGCATTCTATAGCTGGAGACAGGTTAAGAACTTGGGGGAAGCTCCACCCAGTCTTTTCCAGTTTAGCAGAGCTAACTCTAGATAGGAGGTCACCTCCACTCCAGCGTTCGCTCTGCTGAAGTATAAAAAAAGGTGGGAGAAACTTGTTCTGAACACTTAACCGGTCACCAACTATAGTGCAGTCCTTCCGGTGGCACTCTAAAGAAATTGAAACCACAAAGAGTTCGGCCCACTTAACTTTAGACGCAAGTAACCGCTCTGCAGCTATGGTCTTTAAACTTGAAAACTTGGGTGATATTTTAGAATTTTATAAAAACTAAATTTGAATGCAATATTAACGTCATGGCGCAGTAGACTCCTGAGCCGCGTACTATACTTTTCGGATATAAATAATGACAGAGTTAGCAGAACCAGCAGCCATGGCCTCAACTGAACTCTGACCTGCTGCCTAACTATAGGAAACGGCAACTTAAAAAAAAATAAGAGCGCAGTGTTCATTATGTCCAGGCTTCCTGGGTGCGTGATTTGTTCTTATGCGCGCTTATCGGCCAATGCCACATCTATTTGGATAGGAAGCGATAATAAGATGTTCGGCTCTTCGTCCTCCACAGCCAACAAGGTTACGACGTTAGTCATTGAGAACGCTGAAGAACACACCAGGGAGCGAGAAGCGAGAATGCAGCAAGCCACGCGCTGCGTTTCTGAAGCAGTCAGTAACTGAGTACTGAAGCCGAGATATTACATCGGACAGTATGCGTAGAATATAGTTCTGATTTCATTCATTTCTTCTCGAGGGCTGGGGACGACGACATCTTAAACTAACGAGAACTTCCCTCACGCAGGACGTTTTGGAAGAGCTGCGGCGCAAGGGCCACGTGCTGAAGGCCATCGACCGGCGTCCGGCCTCTGTCAACGCCATCGCCAAGTCGCAGGACCGCGTCATTTACGCCGCCGCAGACTTCCGCAAAGGCGGCATCGTGGACGGCTTGTGAGACGTCGGGCCGGACTTGCTGGAAACGGCGCCTTTGAATGACTGCGTGGAAGAAAGCCTGCCAAGCCTGGGGGCGTGCTCGCGCGTGAGGTTCGGCTTCAAGTGTCACTCAAATCGTGCGTTAGCTTTTTCAATGCTTTCTTTCATGCAGTCTAGCTCAGACTCTGTTTCTATAGCAAGTCGGCAAAGGAACCAGCAAGATCGGGTGCTCCCCGCTGGTACCGGAACTGACCGCACTGGTTCCAGGGCGCTGCAGTCATTTGGACTGGAACTGCTTCCGCCAATTCGGCAGTTTCCTATCTTTTCTGCTTTCTAGATTTTTTTTATTGCTTTCTTTTTATTTAGTAGGACATAATATAGGACCCATGGAAATTTATATTTCTAATTCTTGCAATTATGCGCATAATAAAAATGATATAATTGGCACTCCCGCCTTGAAAACTTGATCTGTTCCTGACTTTCAACTACTCACTTCTGAGAAAGGTAAGAAAATGCCGCATTCTCATTATGTGTTGTCAAAGGAAATGTTTATTTTTGGTGCAGCGTTTAATCCGCGTTTGGAGACATGTTTATGTAGGGTATATACTTTCTACGAGTTGTTTACGCAGTTGTGGGTTTGAGAAAGGCGTCAAAGCATCACAAAGTCACTGAATAGGCAAAACAGGAAAGAGAACCGGTGGCTCCGCATCCTTACAAATTCGTGCAGATAAGCTCTGCAATAAAAAAAAAAAACTAAAATTATTGAGAAAAAAGTATGCATAGTTTGTAATACAGTAGTCGCGAGCAATTTTGAGGAACGCACATCGAAGACTTCAACCGCGAGTGCTTCGAACCCACGTACACAACTTGTTGCTGCAGAAGAGCCTTCCAGAATAATATTTTGAAAGCGTGTTTATAGCAGCAGTCTTTCTGATGTTGACCAAGGGATGAGAAAAGCGAAATATTTTATTTCCAGCTCTTGAGATATTCAAAAGCAGTTAAGAAAAAGTGAAAACCCATGCTTCTTAGTTCTTAGTGGCCTCATAATAATAAAAAAAGCTTGTTTTAAGCAATGTAAAACTATATGCAGTTCTCTTGCTGGCCTAGTCCCACAATTATTACACCAGTTACACGAGCGCTCTCAACGATCTTTAAATCAAGGATGGTTGGCTTAGGTTTCTAAAGAGGGGACAAACACAAGTCTAGTGTTTGTCCCCTCTTTGTAGCCTTCCTCTTGGGTCTTAAAAATGTTTAACTTTAACCAGCGTGCTGTCTTGTAACGTTATCTTCAATCGTTGGCTTCTCCCAACTTTCATTGAGCCCCATTACGTTGGCCGGTGTTACAGGCTACATAGCCCTAACAACCCCAACTTTCCATCCCATTTAAATCCGAAACGAAACAAAAAGTGATGTCCCATTACCCGTTTTAAAAAGGATGTAAATGAATTACAAGACCACTTCATTAATTATGAACGTTTAACACTAAATATAGGGTGTCCCAAGTCACCAGGCTCGAACTAAATGGACCGTAGAAATTGACGCCTGCACGGAGCAATCTAAACTTTTCGTCAAAGATGTATTTACCAAGTCGTTTTTTTTTTCTTGTAAAATTAGAAAGCGTAGCTCCCTTTCTGTAAAAAAAATATGGACAAGAACTTGTGAACTGACCCCATTGTGTCATCATTAGCGTAAATAATAAAAAAAACAACGAAGGTGTTGTATATCAGCGAGAGCTAGCCCAGTCCAGTAGAAGGAATGCAATGTTAAATAGGAGCGGTGCAAAACTGAGCCTTATGGCACGCCACAGTTTGATGGGAAATTTGACGACTCGACATGTGATAGGCGGACGGCGAAAATTCTGTTGGTAATAAAGGCGTAGACAGCATTTATGACACGAGGTGGGGTGGCCGAGGGCCACCATCGCCTCCAGCAGTGGGGCGTGAGCGATACTGTCATAGGCCTTTGAAATGTTAGTAGCTACAAGTGTGCGAACCAAGTGGCTATAGGGTGACAGATGTAGGACTTAAACATTTCGAGAAAAAAAACCGAGACTGGGACAATGAGGGACGGACAAACACAAAGTCTCAAATACAGCTGAATTTTATTTGAGAACGAGGGGTGCTTATATAGGTATCAAATCCTACACAGGACTTCATTTGCAAGGCCTTCGAGGCCATCTTCCCTTCCAAGATGTTGCCGGAATCCAATTTGGTTGGGGTGATAGAGACAGTGGGCCTCCAGCCACCAAGAGATACGTTTAGCCATCATCCGCTCATATATTTTGCAGATGGTCGGAGTCAGTGGTATAGTCAGTCGGTGGAATGGGCACTACGATCGAGTGTTTCCATCATGTGGGGAGCTCGCCGGCTTCCCAGATCTTATTGATGATAGCTAGCAGGTCTGTGACTGCCTCTCCCTCGAGGTTCTTGTACACCTCGTATGGGAGACCGTCATGTCCTGGAGCGGAGCGCCGACTTGCACTCTCGATGGCGTCTTGAAGCTCAGCCAGAGTGCAGGATGTAGTAGTGCCAGTGGCGTCTGGCATATCCGTGACAGGGGGCGCTACAGACGTGCTGGTATGTCGGGGGAAAAAAGGTATCCGCCGCGCGCGCCGCAAACCCATCGTCGGTGAGCCCCAGACGGAACTGATTGTTCCCAGTCCGGCCTTCAGCTTGGCGAGGTCGTTCTTTAGCGTGAAAGTCCGCCAAAGAGCGTCATGGTGCTTCGGGTTACTCAGCGAGGCACACCAGTCAAGCCAGCGTTGCTGTATAAGTCGTTCCTCGTGGTGGTGCGCCTTAGCTGCCACGAGGGGGCCTCATCCTGAAGTTGATGGTCGTCGGATTGTATGGCTGCCAATGTGACCCCTTCAAGTCGCTGTTGCCACAGGCGGAGAAGGTGGGGATCAGGTGTTGGTTGATCACTGTGCACCGTGCATAGTCGTGGTGCATTCCAACATGACTTCTTTGATGGCTGTCTGAACTGTTACTGGGTCCTGCGCTGTGATGTTAAGAGATGATTAAAGTTTATCCCAGCCGGTTACTTGAACTTGCTTCCAGAGGTGCCCAGGCAGCACCGAGTTCTGGGCCAAAACTTGGCTTGCGTCTGGCAGTTTAGGGCATTAAAAAGCCCGAAGAAGCCAAAGTAGTGCCAAACCTGACCTCCCTTGGCAACAGTCTGGGTATCTTGGCCCTAATTCGCCAAACAAGTGCCAAACTTAGGCTTCGCTGCCGGGTAGTTCGGCTGTCGTCTGGCATCTTCGGGCCTAAATCGCCTAAAAAATGCCAGATTTAGGCTTACTGCCCGGCAGTTCGGCAGATCTTTGGCATTTTTGGGCCAAAATCGCCAAACTAATGCCAAAGTTAGGCTTCACTTTTTGATAGTTCGGCTATCACCTGGCACATTCGGGCCAAAATCGCCACAGATGTGCCAGAGTTAGGCTTACTACCTTGTAGTTCGGCAGAGCTTTGGCATTTTTGGGCCAAAATCGCCGAACTAATGCCAAAGTTAGGCTTCACTTTTTGACAGTTCGGCTGTCACTTGGCACATTCGGGCCAAAATCGCCAGAGATGTGCCAGAGTTAGGCTTACTACCTTGTAGTTCGGCAGAGCTTCGGCATTTTCGGGCCAAAATCGCCAAACTTATGCCAAAGTTAGGCTTCACTTTTTCACAGTTCGGTTGTCACCTGGCACATTCGGGCCAAAATCGCCACAAATGTGCAAGATTTAGGCTTACTACCTTGTAGTTCGGTTGAGATCTGGCATCTTTGGGCCCAGGTCGCCAAACGAGCGCCCAAGTTAGGCTTCGCTTCCCGATAGTTTGGCTGTGATCTGGCAGCTACGGGCCAAAGTTGCCAAACAAATGCCAGAACTGGGCTTACTGCCTTGGAGTTCGGCTGATGAAATATTTGATGTACGCGGGTGGTCTTCATCTTAATTAAATAGAAATCAAGTTTTATTCCGCTGCCAACTTTATCTTATTTTGGGTGTCTCTTGATTTCTGCAGTCCAAAGGTTGGCTGAATGTTTTAACGCGGCTGGAGCAGGCTTTGCAAACGCAAATAAATTGTGCCAGAGGTTGCACTCGCGCGTAGGTACACAAGCCAATATCGGGGCGCGCCGTGAGACTGGTTCGACATTATGGCGCGTTCACACCGGCGATGCGATCTAGTCGCGCCATAACTTTCATCGCAAAAGCGACCATCGCGGGCAAAAAGTGCCGGGTTTTGAGCAGTCGCTTGCTGACCCGACTTTTTACGATGCACTCTCGTCGCGGAGAGGCCGAGCCAACCAACGGCGTTCGGAGCGAGAGTTTTTGAGAAGCGACTCGCCAACGAAGGCGTTGGACTCGCTCATCGCGCACGCCAAATTGACCAACTAATTGCTTTTATTTATTTTTTATTTATTTTTTTTTTTTTTGCGATGCGATTTAGTTGGATCGCGCGACTGCTTACATCCCCGGTGTGAATCCGCCTTTACAGGAAGTGCTGCCATTGAGCTAACACTGCGCAAGACGGATGTACGCACGTTTCCACAAGAGATATCATTATTAAGCGGCGCATTGCAAAAGCGAGCGTGGGTCTGTGCGTGTCTTGCATTGTGATTGAGCACTGTCAAATCCTAGCGATAACAAAGAGCGGAAACGACCGGGGCTCCGTGGCGCGGCTCCCGCATCACACTTGGGGAATGAAAATAAAATCCCGGGAATTTACTATTTTAGCGTGTTGATACTTTTTAAACATCAAAAGTGGAGACACAAAAGGGACGATACAGACAGGACAATCTGAACTTTAAAGGCCGCTGTACAAACGGGACGTTCTACAGAGAAGAACCTTCTCTCCCGAAGCTAGGGGACGGGGAGGGAAAGGGCCATCGTTGGGTGGAAAGAGCGTCTTGAGAATGGGATTAGCCTCGGGGCGAGCCATCCTCTCGAGAGGGAGTGGGGACGGAACAAAGCTGCCGTGGGGGATCCGGCTAAAAGGTGGAAGAAAGTTAAGCTTGTCAAACGGCGACCTCGGATCCGAGGACGGGCACGTTAGAGAATTTGAAAAAAAGCTGCTTGATTAGCCGGACGACCCAGTGCGGTCTACTGGTTCTAGAAGGTGACTCGGATGAAGAAAACTCGTTTTGCTCGAAAACTCTAAAAGCATTCTGGGCGTGAACTCTTGCCACAAATAAAAATAACACATGCATGAAAAACTACGAAGGCAACTAAGCTTTCTCCTATGATGGGAGAATGCGTGAGCATTACAGGCAGAGTTATGTTGGCGCAACTTGCAATAAAGAAAGAAAAAAAAAAGTTATGTTGGCGCAGCGGACAGCGCGCTAGTTTCACGATCAAGCGGAACCGGGCTGGTTTTTTTTCTCGTGTTCTTTTTTTATTTCGTTTATTTTTTTATATTTTTTTTTCGTCACGTAACA